TAGTAGTAGTAGTAGACTAGTACACGCTGCACTGTTGGGCGCTCGAGAGCCTAAAAGTGATTTCAGTCTTTAAACAGTACTTGCTATACTTTTTTTTGGCACTTTTTCTAAATTTCCGGGGGGACGATCCCCCCTTAAACAAAATTGAGGGGGGACATGTCCCCCCCCCCCGTCCCCCCGGGATCACCGCCTATGGTAGTAGAAGTAGTAGTAGTAGTAGTAGTAGTAGTAGAAGTAGTAGTAGAAGTAGTAGTAGTAGTAGTAGTCGTAGTAGTAGTAGTAGTAGTAGTAGTAGTAGTAGTAGTAGTAGTAGAAGTAGTAGTAGAAGTAGTAGTAGTAGTAGTAGTCGTAGTAGTAGTAGTAGTAGTAGTAGTAGTAGTAGAAGTAGTAGTAGTAGTAGTAGTAGTAGTAGTAGTAGTAGTAGTAGAAGTAGTAGTAGTAGTAGTAGTAGAAGTAGTAGTAGTAGTAGTAGTAGTAGTAGTAGAAGTAGTAGTAGTAGTAGTAGTAGTAGTAGAAGTAGTAGTAGTAGTAGTAGTAGTAGTAGTAGTAGAAGTAGTAGTAGTAGTAGTAAAAGTAGTAGTAGTAGTAGTAGAAGTAGTAGTAGTAGTAGTAGTAGTAGTAGTAGAAGAAGTAGTAGTAGTAGTAGTAGAAGTAGTAGTAGTAGTAGTAGAAGTAGTAGTAGTAGTAGTAGTAGTAGTAGTAGTAGTAGTAGAAGTAGTAGTAGTAGTAGTAGTAGTAGTAGTAGTAGTAGTAGAAGTAGTAGTAGTAGTAGTAGAAGTAGTAGTAGTAGTAGTAGTAGTAGTAGAAGTAGTAGTAGTAGTAGTAGAAGTAGTAGTAGTAGTAGTAGTAGTAGTAGTAGTAGTAGTAGTAGTAGTAGAAGTAGTAGTAGTAGTAGTAGTAGTAGTAGTAGTAGTAGTAGTAGTAGTAGTAGTAGTAGTAGAAGTAGTAGTAGTAGTAGTAGAAGTAGTAGTAGTAGTAGTAGTAGTAGTAGTAGTAGTAGTAGTAGTAGTAGTAGTAGTAGTAGAAGTAGTAGTAGTAGTAGTAGTAGTAGTAGTAGAAGTAGTAGTAGTAGTAGTAGTAGTAGTAGTAGTAGTAGTAGTAGTAGTAGTAGTAGTAGTAGTAGTAGTAGTAGTAGTAACAGCAGCAGTAAAAGTAGTAGTATAGTAGTAATTAGCCTTTAAGCAAATACTGGTAATGGGCGTGTGAAATGTTAGAATGCATGTAGGTCGGAGGGCATGTAATTTCTATAATTTTATTCTTAAGCGGCTTAAAAAGAGTAACTAGAAATAAATTGGAAATCTATAAAGTTATATCAATTCTTAAATGGGGTTTAGGATTCGTTTTTGAAAAGTTTTTGAAACATTCAAAAATTTGGTAGGTATTAGCAGTACAACACTTTAAAAACGGATGAAATCCTATACAGTCATAATTATGTCCTCACATAATCATTATACGGCCTGACTTGCAATTAGCATTTGACAAGACAGCATTTTATCTGTAAAGATATGATAACATGGTCAAGTTATCTTTAATAATAGTGCAACATATTGTAATATTCACAGGACTAGCGAGGGTGATCGGCGCAGTGGGGAATGCCGGGGAATACGGGGCGGACACTGGGGCTCACCTATAATCGAGATAGAGAAGAGATAGAGAAAGATAGAGAGACAGGGAGAGACAGAGAGAGGGAAAGAGGGGAGGGAGAGAGAGAGAGGGGGGAGAGAGAGAAAGAAAAAATAAACGCCCTCAACCCCCCCCCCCCCCTCCCCCCTCCTCCTCCCCCTCCACCCCTTTGTCTGGATATACTTAGGCTACATCACTGTGGATATTCGCACTGATATCACAAAAAAGGCTAGGTTGCTCGATCTGTAATCATTAACTTTTCCTTTTACGGGTCTTCAAGCATCTTCAATATGAGAGCTCTCATACCTGTTCTACTCGTTTCCTTCGTGTGCTTCGCCTCGGCGAAATATGAGGGGTGAGATAACGAATATTTGATTATTTAATCACATAATTTACTGTTTATACATATTTTGTCTCCTTTTTGCATTGGTAAAATATTATAGGAAAATTATTTTAAGAGAGAAGAAGAAGAAGAAGAAGAAGAAGAACAACAACAACAACAAAAACAACAACAACAACAACAAGAACAAGAATAAGAGGAAGGAGAACAAGGGGAAAAAGAACAAGAATAAGAAGAACGAGAACAAGAACAAGAAGAACAAGAAAAATCAGATGAAAAGAGGAGAAGGAGGAAAACAAATATTGGTATCTGACAACCTAACTGAGACTCGATATGGATAACATAAACGCGATATATGTAAGTTTATCAACACTGCCATATGAGTCATTGGTGTAAGAAATATAATTTAATCAACAAACTAATATTCATAAATTTCACGGCGATTGGATCTCACTTGGTTGAATTTTAACAAACAGGTACCAAGTCTGGAGGATTAAACCAACCACGGAAAATCAAATGAAGTGGCTGAGTTATATCGAAGAAAACATGGACGATGAGGTGAGAAATACAAATGGTTTTGCTATAGATATCAGTATGCGGGTGATGCAGGAAATGAAAAGGAAAAAGTGAATAGGCACGATTTTGTCGGGGGGGGGGGGGGGCTAAAGTCTCGTCTCTTCTCTGGATATTTATTAAAGGGGGCGTACCCCCAGCACACTAGCTGGGGTACAGCAAGGCATCGCTAGGGGTGCAGCTAGAGAAGTTCAGTTATATGAAATATATATTATGCAATAACGTGAACTTCATGAAAACGAAGTATCGGAAACAGCAAGATCCCTAGATATATCACTTTGGATATCGTAATGGGGAAATAATATTTAGAATATAATAATGAAATGAAAATTTCTTTTTCCTCGCTCGCCCCGCCCCCTCACAACATTTAGAAATGGGGTGGTTTCAGGCAGCGAGGTGCATGAATACTCTCGTAATTATGACGAAATGACGATGTTCAGGCATCTTGCTGCCAGCATGTCGTCAATATCATCAGAATTCGGGCAGCAAGGTGCCTCAAAATAATCTTATCCAGTGCTTTTTTGTATCAAAGTTAAATCTATGTCACGGAAAGGTGTGCTTTTTCCAACGCCCGCTTCACTTTCTAGCAAAATTAATAAACCAGGATGATCCCTGGCAATAAGATGACCCACCATATAATTTTCGCATTTTATCTCGTATGTATTGATGACAAAGTAACATTTTTGCCATGATAAGAAGTGTGTCATTTGTTTACTCGTTCGCTTCGTTCACTCGCAACACTGAATGGTATATTTGGGCAAGAGGAGCCCGTATGCCCGTCCATTTTCACATGAAAGGGTAGTGATGATGTAATGAATTTTAGGATTGGGGTGACGTGAAAATGTTTTATTCCAAAAAGGGTGCCGTAACTAAAATATTGAACATTAAAAACGGTTTAAAAAGCCTTTTTTTTTAACGCAGCGATTTCCCGCGTCAAAGCTGAACAAGCTTTAATATGTCTCTCAAACGTGTGAATTACCATGTATTAAATAATTATTGATTCATCTATATTAATTATCTAAAAAACTAACCAGCTTCTATGAAATATAAGCTTTGCTTCTTAAGAGACTCATCGACCTCTGTTTCTTTTTATTTCTATTTATGATCTTAATAGTGTTTAATAGTAATTTTACAACCAGGAATTTTCCGATGAAATGTATTATTTGTTTTTATCTTTCGTAGATTCTAACAACATCGTATAAGGCATGTCATAACACTTTTAAGAGGATGTCGTTTAAAGCCCCACTGTCCTACTTGTAGCTACTTGCTCCCTCTATATAGAAAACTTCCCCAATCGGTGCCTGTTGGTCCCCCATGAATGTCTTTTTCTTATGTTAGAGTTAATGATGAGTTAATGAGATAGCCACCTGTCAGTGACCTCGCTGTGTGGTATAATTTTTAATTATTTTTTAGCATAAAATCGATTTGTATTTGAGAAAGAAAATGATTATATCTATACCGTATTTGTACATCTTCTTTGGATATAAACAGAAGAGACTTCAACAACGAAAACATGATTATCAAAAAAATATATTAATATGATGTAAAAGCAATTGATATAAAAATGATTATTAATTAGATATCTATTATTATCTTGTTTCAACGGTTTCTTGTGAAATATGCCATCTGGACCGGGAAAGGTAGAACAATATTTGCTTGCTTAGAGATAAACAGAGTTTGTTAACCCTGTACGACCTCATTTCTCTTTGGGAGCTGGTAATAATTTGATTAATTAATTGGTTTATAATAGTCATTAGCAATTATTGTTTTATCCCAGTAATGACACGTACTCATTTAAAGGGAAATTCCACTCTTATATTATCATGGTTTTGATAAAAGCAAAAAATGGTAGAAGAACAATATTGAAAGTGTAAGTAGTATCCGACTAAAAATAGGAAAGAAATGAATTGCTAAAGTTCTTCAGTTAGTACACAGAAATTAGGAACACTGTGACGTATCTTGCGAGCTCCTCTCAAATTTGCTCTGTACAGAACATTTCATAAACTCTCATTTTCTTAGTTGTTGATGACGGAATAGACTTGTTTCATACAGGAAATGTACACAACATATTTCCAATAGTTGTATATAGGGTGAATGTAAGACTAACAAAATTATTGTGGGAAAATATAAAATTTGCCCATGCCCAAGGACGTAAACTCGGTTGGTTTGGAGTCAGTCTGGAGTCGATTTGGCAGCCAGACTGAGGTTAATCCAAACTATCGAATTCGGAAAAAGTTACAAATCTGTATTCAAATCCGGGATTCAAATGCCCCCTTCTCAGCTCCATGATGGTAATTTCTTCTCCTCCTCCTCATATTCTTCTTCTTATCATCATTATTACTATTATCCTCTCTTAAGTCTTTCTTTCTTTCTCTCTACCTTTCTTTCTTATTTTTTCCTCTTAAACTTACAGTTTGACTTTTGGACCGGTGTTACGAGAATCCCCGGCCACCCTGTCGACGTAATGGTACAACCCAATAGTCAGGACACTCTACGCATGCTCCTGAAGCAGGAGAAGTTGGACTTTGACATTATAATTGATGACGTCAACACACTGGTATCCAATCAAATGGCTGAGATTCTTGCGAGGCAAGACGGAGAGCAGTCCTTTGGTACACGTTTGGCCAACTTTGACTACAATGTTTATCATACTTATGAAGAGGTAACAATTGATGCATAAGCCTTTTAATGAATTGCTATCATAAATTTAATTGCGTAATATAACTAAATATATAAATTATTTCGGTAAATGATTATTACTGAAACCTATTTTCATGATACAAGATTGATAGTTTTTTAAAACATGTGAAAATGTCAACAACAAAAATGTGCCAATATTCTTTTTTTTACTACGAAAGAATTTTCAGCTCATAAATCACTGCTTTTTTGTTTAAGGTCTCATAAAGTGAGTTTGAATAATTAAATTTAGAAGTACAAGCAATGATGTGATGGCTCGATATTTGTTGGGGGGGGGGGCTGCTTTTCGGAAAATTATGGAGTACAGCAAAATGTGTTGGGTATACGTTTTAAGAGATATTTTCCCATGCCATTTTCTATTTAACTGAACAGATCCAGGAGTGGGTTGATTACATGGTGGATAAATACAGCGCGACCCTGCAGATTTCTTCATTCCTGCTCGGAAACTCCTACGAAGGACGAACCATCCAAGGCATAAAGGTAACATGAGTTTCAACAAGGGCGTAGGGAAGCAAGGGGCAACGTACCCTAATGTGACCAGAAAGAAAACATACGATGACAGCCATGATGTTGATGATGATGGTGATGATGATGATGATGATGATAGTGGTGATAAAGTTGATGATGATGATGAGGAGGAGGAGGAGGAGGAGGCGGAGGAAAAGATGAAAATGATGATGAGGTAATGATGATGTTGTTGTTGATGATGATGATAATAATGATGATGAGATGAAAATTTGATTTGATTGATTGATTTGATTTTGTATGTACCTACTTCAATACATTTTATACAATGATATTTACATATATATGAGAAGAGAAAATAGAGGTTGGAAATATGCAAAGCTGACCGTTTTCAGAATGATTAAACTTAAAGATGAAAAATATCAATATCCAAGAAACCTGTATCGGCTATATACCTACCTATGTGCTTATTTTGAGATTCGTTCACTTTCTTAACCTCTGGTCTCCCTCCGAGTATAGATTCGAGGAGCTGGAAGCCAATCAACAAACCCACCAGCTGTCTGGTTTGAGGGTGGTATTCACGCTCGAGAATGGGTTTCACCAGCTACTGTCATGGGATTCACCCAAAAGGTAGATAAAGAGTGAGAGAGAGAGAGAGAGAGAGAGAGAGAGAGAGAGAGAGAGAGCAAGCGAGAGAGAGAGAGAGAGAGAGGGGGAGGAAAGAGAAGGGAGAAGAGAGACAGACAGACATACATAAAGACAGAGATAGGGTTGGTATTCACGCTCGAGAATGGGTCTCACCAGCTACTGTCATGGAATTCATTCAAAAGGTATATAAAGAGTGAGAGAGAGAGAGAGAGAGAGAGAGAGAGAGCAAGCGAGAGAGAGAGAGAGAGAGAGGAAGGGAGCGAGAGAGAGAGAGAGGGGGGGGGGAGAAAAGAGACGGACAGACATACAGACAGAGATAGGGGTGGTATACATGATAGAGAATGGATCTCAACAGCTTCTGTCAAAAGGTATACAGAGAGTGCGCGCGAGAGAGAGAGAGAGAGAGAGAGAGGGATACAGATATATAGACAGAGAGACACAGAGACAGACAGGTATGGTGGCCCTGAAGGGACATCGCGAATAGACTAAATCGTGAAAAATATGCGATAAAATTCACGATATCGTCAATTTTATCGCATATTTTTCACGAAGAAATTCACGAAATTGACGATATCGTGAACTTTATCGTGAACTTTTCACGATGAAATTGACGATATCGTGAATTTTATCGTGAAAAGTTCACGATATAAAGTTCACGATATCGTCAATTTTATCGTGTACTCTATCGTGTACTCTATCGTGTACTCTCCTGACGGGCGCTTCGTAAACAAAACCAGCCCTAGCTGGGGGAGACAGAGAGAAGGAAAAAAGGGAAAGGGAAAGAGAAGATAAAAGGAAAGAAAGAATAATAAGAAGAAAAGAGGGAAACGGGGGGGGGGCGAAGGGCTCTTGCCTCCTCCTCACTCCCCCCGCCAAAAAAATAAATAAGAGAGAGAGAGAGAGAGAGAGAGAGAAGGGAAAGGGAAAGAAAGAAGAGGAATAAGAGGGAAACAGGGGAAGGGCGAAGGGCTCTTGCCTCCTCCCCCCCCCCCCCCGCCAAAAATAAATAAGAGAGAGAAGGGAAAGGGAAAGAAAATATAAAAGGAAAGAAAGAAGAGGAATAAGAAGGAAAGAGGGAAACGGGGGAAGGGCGAAGGGCTCTTGCCTCCTCCCTCCCCACCCCCCGCCAAAAAAATAAATAAGAGATAGAGATAGAAGGGAAAGGTAAAGGGAAAGAGAAGATAAAAGGAAAGAAAGAAGAGGAAGAAGAACAAGAAAAGAGGGAAACGGGGGCGAAGGGCTCTTGCATCCTCCCGCCCAAAAAATAAATAAGAGAGAGAGAGAGAGAGAGAGAAGGGAAAGAGAATAAAAAAGGAAAGGAAGAAGAATAAGAAGAAAAGAGGGGCTCTTGCCTCCTTCCCCCCTCCCGCGCCAACAAATAAATAGGAGAGAGAGAGAGAGATAGAGAGGATGGAAAGGGAAAGGGAAAGAAAATATAAAAGGAAAGAAAGAAGAAGAAGACGGAAAGAGGGAAACGGGGGAAGGGCGAAAGGCTCTTACCTCCCCCTCCCCCCTCCCGCCATAAAGGGAAAGAGAAGGGAGAGGGAAACAAAATATAAAAGGAAAGAAAGAAGAGGAAAAAGAATAAGAAAAGAGGGAAACAGGGGCGAAGGGCTCTTGCCTCCTTTCTTTTCTTTCTTTTCCTTTCTTTCCTATTCTCCCTCTTTTTCGTTTTTCTCTTTCTTTCTTCTCTTTCCCTTTCCTTCTCTCTCTCTCTCTCTTATTTATTTTTTGGCGGGGGGCGGGGGGACGAGGCAAAAGCCCTTTGCCCCCGTTTCCCTCTTTTCTTCTTCTTCCTCTTCTTTCTTTCCTTTTATCTTCTCTTTCCCTTTCCCTTTCCCTTCTCTCTCTCTCTCTGATTTATTTTTTGGCGGGGGGGGGGAGGGGGGGGCAAGAGTCCTTCGCCCTTCCCCCGTTTTCCTCTTTTCTTCTTCTTCCTCTTCTTTCTTTCCTTTTATCTTCTCTTTCCCTTTCCCTTCTCTCTCTCTCTCTGATTTATTTTTTGGCGGGGAGGGGGGGGGGGTGAGGAGGAGGCAAGAGCCCTTCGCCCCCCCCCCCCGTTTCCCTCTTTTCTTCTTCTTATTCTTTCTTTCCTTTTATCTTCTCTTTCCCTTTCCCTTTTTTCCTTCTCTCTGTCTCCCCCAGCTAGGGCTGGTTTTGTTTACGAAGCGCCCGTCAGGAGAGTACACGATAAAATTGACGATATCGTGAACTTTATATCGTGAACTTTTCACGATAAAATTCACGATATCGTCAATTTCATCGTGAAAAGTTCACGATAAAGTTCACGATACCGTCAATTTCGTGAATTTCTTCGTGAAAAATATGCGATAAAATTGACGATATCGTGAATTTTATCGCATATTTTTCACGATTTAGTCTATTCGCGATGTCCCTTCAGGGCCACCATAGACAGGGAGGGGAAGGGGTTGGGTATTTATGATAGAAAATGAATCTCATCAGCTACTGTCATGGGATTCACTCAAAAGCTAAAGAGAAAAGGAGAAGAGAGAGAGGGGAGAGAGGGCAGGAGTAAGTGTGTGCGTGTGTGCGTGCGTGCGTGTATGCGTGTGTGTGTGTCTGTGTGTGTTTTTGAGAGAGACAGTGAAAGAAGGAGAAGGAGAAGAGAGAGAGAGAGAGGGTGGACAGATGGCGAAATGATTAAAAAAAAAATGAAACAGATCAGAGAGCTAAGAAATAGAGAGAGAGAGAGAGAGAGGGAGAGGGGAGAGTTGGATAATCATGATATATGACGAATTTATTACGTAGCCTAGAGAAGCTATATATAAAAGTAAGGGTCTTCTGATCCTTTGCATTATAATGATAAAACCAATGAGGTTTTCCAATAGCCAGCTTATGAACTACGATATACCACCATCGAAATGTAACGACTTAATTTTCACAAACAAATTAATACATTGTATCTTCCCCATTTCCTTGCAGCTTATTGACGAATATGAAGAAGGGGATCCGCTTGTCCAACGGATGTTTGACAATATCGACTGGTACATCGTCCCTTCTCTGAATGTTGACGGGTACCATCATACGTGGACCCAGGTGAAAGACAGGAGTTATGTCTCTGTAGACGAGAAGATTTGTTCGAGTACAGTTTACAAAACATATTTATTAATTGTCAGGATCCCGATGTATTTAACTAGGCCCAGATTAAGATTTGTAATGTTTAAATACTTTCAAATGAATAACCAAGTGATATTATGTACATGCATATGTATTATTATCGAAACAACAAAGACCAATGACCTATTCCAAGTCAGGTCTGTACAGAAATATATGGAGAGTAATTTCTGGGACTACTTTCTTCTTCACCCTTCGCGAGTTTCGAATGACGGTAAGAAACGGTTGTGGTTTCATTTTTTTCAAGAAACCTAAATTTCGTTGCTTATCCTTACCTCTTCCCCCGTACTGTGCGACTTATCGGGGGTGGGGCGGAGATGATGATGCGACCTATCTTCCTATTTGAAGGAAAAAAGAATGCCTCCCCCTACAAACACTGAAACACACACGTACACACGCGCACGCGCACGAACGCTCGTTCGCACATACGCACACATATTGAAAGTCCCGTTGTCGCTAGTGGAAGTGGAAAGAATACTGAACACTGGAGTGCAACAACATGGCACTGTTGATATATCGGAAAAGGCTCTCTTCTCAAACAAGAAGTCTTGGGTTCAATTATAATTCCTTGGTGGGACGTAATTACATCAATGGACTTTCAGTCATTCTCGACTCGTGTGTATCAAATAGATACCTGGCAAAGCTGGAAGTAATAATGCTTGCAGAATAAGACAAATTCTCCGGATTCTGCCCAAAGTAGAAAAAAAGCCTGGAAAGAAAATAGTTACGCACTATTCCTCACATTCACGGCCACTCTAACCCTAAATCTAACCCTAATCCTAACCCTAACCCAAAGTCTAGCTAACCCTAACCCTAAACTTAACTCTAAACCCTAACCCTAACCCTAACACTGCGTAACTATTCTCATTCAAGGCTTTTTCTACTTTGGGCAGAATCCGCAGAATTACCCAGAACACTCTTAGTGCTGTTGAAACTACTCTGCGTTAATAAAACCATCAAAACAATTATTATGTTTGTTTATTGATATTATCACAGGACCGTATGTGGCGCAAGACTCGATCACCAAACTCAGCATCGGTCTGCAAAGGAACGGACCCTAACAGAAACTGGCCCTATGAGTGGGGAGGTAAGCTTTATATTTAATATAACATAATACTTGTTGGTTATATCGTGGTTTAATTGGAAACCACTCGTTTTTTATAAGCACCCGAAAGCATGTAGAATGGGAAAAGGGGTGGGTAAATGGGGACTAATATGCGTGTGACGTAATTAAGCGCTACAGCTACTATGCGAAACGAAAGGTGGTTTCCTATCTCACGATAATGCTCATCTGTTCATATTGATTATGGTAATCAGTTGATAATTGTTACAGTATCATTTTGTGTTTTGTTTCCTTCCAATCATTTTCCTATTCCAAATTTTGTTCACTTTTATTCACTATTTCCTTGTCTTCGAGTTGAGAAATTATTGATCCTGCATTTTCACCGGTTATCGTTGGCTATTATGCAGTGGCGGATCTATGGGAGAGGGAGCACATGCAAATTCACCTCCACCTCCCCTCCCTGAGCTGCCCACCAAAATAAATTCGCTATACGTTCGATAGATTTTAGAACTCTTTTTATTGTCATATTGAGACATATCTAACCATGTATCTGAGGGACGTGGGGACCTTTTCGTTTAATTTCGGGTGTTTTGGGGGTATGATTTTACATAAAGTAAACAAAAACCTGCGCCTGTGTTGTTGTTGTTTTGTTTTTTGTTTTTTTTGGCAGTGGTTCACTGCGCCATATCTGAACAAGCTTTAAGCCCAACTGCATTACTTATAGCTACTTGCGCCCCCTATAGGGCAAACAATGCCTAATCGGTGCCTGTTGATCCCCCATGATCCCCCTTTTTCTTATGTTGATTGAGAGCTGATCTGATGAGATAACCACCTGCCAGTGACCTTGCAGGGAGGTCTAATCCCCCTGGCTAAACTAGTACAGACGGCCTTTAAATTTCTCATATCCATGTCTACACAGGCGTAGGAGCTAGCAGTTCCCCGTGCTCTGAAACCTACCGCGGGTCTCAGGCTCTCTCCGAGGTCGAAGTGGCAAACGTCGTCAACTTCTTACGGGAGAGGAAGGCGGAGGGACAGGACTTCATGGTGTTCATTGACTGGCACAGCTACTCGCAGCTGATCATTGCACCGTGGTCCTACCTCGAGTCTGACGCTCGCACCGAACACTACGACGAACAGGTGACAGCAATATCATTCAAATTAAAATTAAAATTAAAGTGATTTCAATCGAATTCGATTGAATTCAGTTATGTTAAAATCAGTTTTATTCAATCCAGTTCTATTTGATTCCATTCCATTCACTTCACTTCATTTCACCTCAGTTCAATTCAGTTTTTTCGATTGAATTCAATTTAGTTCAAGTTCAATTCTATTCAAATCAATTTAATTTAGTCCAGTTCCATTCGATTTGATTGAGTACAATTCAGTTTAGTTCAATTTAGTTCGATTCGATTCAAGTCGACTCAATTAAAAATGACTCATGTATCATATATGAGACCGGGCATTTTTCCTCTATTGCTCCTCGCCTGTGGGATTCCCTCCCATCATCTATTCGCGAAATTGACAACCTGGAACACTTCAAAGCTTCACTCAAAACTCACATCTTCCTTCAGACATTTAAATGCTAATTTTATTGGAGGAGCTCGCGCCTTTGAATGTTTTTTTAAAACAGATATATGGCGCCATACAAATGCTGTTCATCATCATCATCATAAACATACAATGTTTGACTGGTATTATAGGCTACACTTCATTTTACATTAAGATCTGGAGAAATTGGACTATAAGCTAGATTATCATATTCCCTTCGGGATGTATAACATTCAGAATTATGCTGCAGGCACTAGTTCTTCTTGTCTTTATTCATTGAAAAGTATAAACCATCTGTCTTGTATATATGAAAATAAAGTAAAATTGGAAAGCGAGGTAGCAATCATTTTATCTTTTATTTATATTCTAATCACTGACAGATGGCGATGGCTGCAGCAATGGCCGACGCCATTAGAGACACACATGGAAAACGGTACGATCATGGAGTTGGCGCTGAAATTCTCTGTAAGTCATGTTATTTACCAAGCATATATAGGGCCATTGTAATTCAATATCCCTTTTCTAAATTTGTTTACAAATCGTCATCATTGATTTGACTTGTTTGTTTTTGCATAGGCCTGTATTTTTGTTTTGTTATCTTTATTACTGGCTTTTGTTTGTATTATAATTTGTATATTATTATTCAGTTCGCACGATCTTTCTGAAAAACCGCCATTTAGGCTGAGACGGGTTACCGTGTTTTGAATTACTGAAATAAATGAAATAAAATTACGTTTCGGGCCTAAGTAAGCGTGGTCATTTTTTAAAAATATTTATTTGTGGAAAATTACAGATGCATCCTCAGGCTCGAGTAAGGACTATGGCTACGCCACGTTTGAACTTGGGGGCGCCATCACCAACGGGGGGCTCGGGGCCAAGTATTCTTACACCGTGGAGCTCCGTGACACGGGCAGATACGGGTTTACACTCCCCGAGAACCAGATACAGCCCACCTATGAAGAGATACACGCTGCCGTGCGAGTTATTGGTGACCGTGTACTCAGCGAGCTTGGCTTGTAAAAGTGCTTGGGTGTTAAACTGAACCATAGCTTTTGATCAAGAAATAAAACATCTGATGTTAGTTAATATGATTTTATGATTGATTTTATCATTAAAGGCAGATACACATGGCTCTACGCATTATTGATGAACGTGTACTCAACGAGCTTATATAACATAGAAAAGAAAAGAATTTTATAAAACCGTAGTTTTTATCAAAATAAAACATAGGATTTTAATTTATAGAGTCTAATGATTAATTGTACCGTTTAGTTATGATGCAATAAACGACTCACGTGCGCGCCATTGGTTAACAGCGAACGCTTTGATTGTACAAAAGCTAAGTCTTAGATGAAAAAATTGGTTTAAAAAAATAGCTTGAAATGATAAAGGATTCAGTGATCAGGATTTATTGCTTATGGTACAATAATTCTACTATAATTAATATAGTCATAATCGGTACCCATAAAATGATAGGCTACGTTTAATCACTCAAAAAAAATCTTAAAGGCACAATCGGGTATCGTCTGAAATGTTTAAACTTTTTGAGTGAATATGGGTTGTAAATGCTTTAAAATCTTTAAAGATGTATAAGAATGAATATTATGAATTGGCAAATGATTAAATGAATTATAGAGTTCAGAATCATCACGAGTTTTAATTCGGAACGAATACAGCTAGTGGTAGTGAAAGAATAGACTGTAGAAAAGGGGAGGAGAGAGAGAGATAGAGAAATAGTGAGAGGGTGTGAGAGAGGGAGAGAGAGAGGCAGAGAGAGAACTAGTAAGTAATGGCAAGCAAGATGGAATGAGAGAGACAGATAAATCTCAACAAACACGATTGTTATGTAAGAAAGAATGAAAGAAAGAAAAAGAAAGAAAGAAAGAATTGAGTCATCATTTCATGGGTCAATCATTATTTTCCAATCATCTTTTCTGATCTTAATCGTGACTATACACTATAGCATGCAACTAAAACAATGTCGCGTAATCGTGAATTCATGAAAAATTCCTTTATATCATTGCGTTTTATGATAAAGTAATTTGTAGACTTTTATCATGTAAATATATATTAACTTTATAAAAACAGATAATACGTATCAGCCTTGTGCTGCATGTCATGTTGTTTTTTTCCAATAAACTAATTCAAATCAATTCAATTCAATGCAACACTAATATGCTACGAATTAAACAGACTATTTTTTAAACTGAGACTTGAACAGAATGCCATATTTGGCATGCAGTTTTTTTTAATCTATATTACACGCGATAGCCCATTTTATCTACCCTAAATGGCAACATATTGTAATATTCACACGACTGTACGCGGATACGAGACTTCCAGATTGTGCTATATACGGCTAATCTGCTGGATCTGAAATCATAATATAGTCCATTTATTGGTCTACAAGCATCTTCAATTATGAGATCTGCGACGGAGTTGATTTTACTCGCTTCCTTGGCTTGCTTCGCCTCGGCGGATTATGAGGGGTAAGCTGAATGCGTGATTAATTAACAAGATTGTAAAACTTTCGAGAATCTACTCAAGTACAATTTCAATACCCTATTGTAGCTGTTGGTCATAATGATGGAAAAATTACTGGGAAAATTCCCCTGTAGAGCCATGCATTATGGTTCAAGGCATGCCCATACAGAGTATTTTGTTATGTTAGAGGTCGGGGCAAAATGCAATGAATTATTGATAATATATTGCTTTTGTTGTTGTTGTATTTGTGGGGGCGGCGACGTACTCTAGCCCCCGCTGCGTACAGTCATGATTCAGTGGCTAAGCAATGGCCTCGTTACTGTGAGCCCCCAGGATCAAAACCGTGTCGATGTGATATATTAGTGCCCTTTTATGAGGCATTAATCCTCATTACTGTCAGTTATGACTTAAGGACGTAGGTCCCCTACTTGAATAGCATAGTAGCATACACCTGATTTAGCATTCACGCAAAACAAACACTCACAAATTATTATTCAATAAAATCTGAGAATGTATACTATTATCTAGATCTATTAGGAATAAATCATTGTCAAAATCATTCCATAAATTGGGGTAAAAATAATTATTCCACCATTATGACCAACAGTGTTTATCCCGTAGAAATCATTTTCGGAATAGTTCATATTATATACGTCACTGTCATGTTCGCACATTGCAATAGGTGGCGTACAATATTCGCCTTAGGTTAATTTTCGAAAGCCTTTGCGATCGTGCCAATGGTCTTTTGCCTATCTATTTTACATTTCTTTATAATCATTATCATGTTTGCCTTCAGTTATTCATTCATGTGGGCCTTTATCTGCGTATTGGATAAGTAATGATTAGAAGAACATGCAGGAATATATAGATAGGCAACGATGTATAAGCCTACTTTAGTAATCTTGATCATGAAGGTTTTCCAAACACTGCTTAAGTCCAGTTTGAACATGCATGAAGCAGTTTTCACATAAAATACTTTACTATAGTTACATGTATAACGTTCTGTGTTATTTTCAGCGATAACTATTGTGTCGCGTGTAAGCCTTTGTGTTGAAGAGGATTACTTCCTGTCAGCGGAATTCCTGCGATTCTCATATTCTTTATTAATTCGGATCAGTCCGGAACAAAACAAGTTCAGACAAGATCCAATAAATGCCCCGTTCTTAAAGGATCAGAGTGAATGACAAAAAACAACAAAGTTTCATGTTGTTGAATAAATAGTTTTAAGCTCCTCGCACAAAAATGATAATAATAATTAATGTGTGAAATGAGTAATGTCGGCTTAAGTTCAATACTATGTCTAAAAAGGAAAGAAAGATAGAAGAAGAAGAAGAAGAAGAAGAAGAAGGAGGAGGAGGAGGAGGAGAAGAAGAAGAAGAAGAAGAAGAAAAGAACAAACAAACAAACGAGCAAAACCTTCCTTCGAACATATTTCTCGATACAGGTACCAAGTCTGGAGGATAAAGCCAACGACGGAGAATCAAATGCGATGGCTGAGTTACGTCGAAGAAAACATGGCCGATGAGGTAAGAAAAAAGTATATATAGTTTTTCGTACATTAATCATTCATACTAACTTAGGAGGAAGGATATGGCGCGATAGCTCAGTTGGTAGAACAGTGGTCTAGTAATCCGGTGCGCCTAGTGCCCTTTGGTAAGGCATTAATCCTCATTACCATGTCCCTCGGAGAGGACCTAAAGCCGTCGGCCGTCTGGTTGCTTACTAACAAGCATTTATGCTTTCTTAGTAGCCAAGTAAAATAACCACCACACATATATCAGAGTGGTGATCAACTTATCAGCAAATACACACATGTGAACTTTATCTTCACAATTATTGGCATATTAACACGGTTCCATCTATTTCTGAAAAAAATCAACTCGAGAGCAATTTCAATACCCTATTGTACTCCCATAGAAATCGTGTTCGAATTACCAATGCGTCATTGCCATGTCTGCACATTCAATAGGTGACGTACGTGGCTTTTGAAATTGCCTTAAAATTTGTTTTTTTCCTTCAAAGTAGTTACGGTCGTTTTTATTATTCATTTGTTCATTCATTCATTACATCATTTAGATTATTACCAACATTTCAAGATCAGTGTTTTTCAGCTTGACAATAACTATACATTTTGTAATTGAGCCAACATATGGCAAAAGCTAGTTGAGATTAGCCTCATCCTAGAAACTTTTCTTAATAGTTTAATTTACTATACCCAAATTTGAACCAACATGTATTTACAATAAAAGAAAAACATGATATCTTAAATGAATATCTCGTTATTATCTCATGTGAAATGTACCACCTGTTCCGCTTAGCATAGCATAGTTGTTTGATATAGATAAACAGATAAAGTTGACTATGTCGACATACTCTATTTATGAGAGCCATCTCGTGTAGTAGAGACGAATGGGAATCTATTTATTTTTTAAAGATTCCTGTCAGGCAGGAATCACTTATTTATGATTTCTGAATCCATTTAAATTATAGCGGAATCCACTTCAAGTTGTACTTAACTCTTTTGAGAGTGGAATCTAATACTACTTTTGATTTTCACTCATGTACATTTTTTGTACGACACATGCTCTTGTGACCACTGCTCAGTGGTCAATTTCCTAAACTATCAGAGTTCCTAACTTTAACCCCAACCCTAAACTTGTGACGAAGTAAAACCCGGAGCAACTGTCGAGGAGAACACAGCCGCAAACCCTCAAATTACCTTTTTGTTTGCAGTTTGACTTTTGGACCGGCATTTCAAGAATTCCCGGCCACCCTGTCGATATAATGGTACGACCCAATGGCCGGGGCACTCTGCGCATGCTCCTGAAGCAGCAGAAGATGGACTTTGAAATTATGATTGATGAAGTCAACAAACTGGTGTCCAATCAAATGGCTGAGATTCTTGCGAGGCGACGAGGAGAGCATTCCATCGGGGCACGTTTAGACAACTTCGACTACAATGTTTACCACACTTATGACGAGGTAAATGACAACATTTACGGTGATCTTGAATATAATATTTTTTATTTGTGAAAGACAACTTACGTTTATAAAGACGTTATCAGATTATGTAAAATATATCTTTTCTTCAAAATGTGAATGATATTAGAAGTGATTAGAAATATGAGCTCAAGTGAATCGATGACTCACAAGACATATCACGACGTTCTTTCTTATTCGAGGACACACATTTTTGTAGAAATATAACACACCGAGGACGATCTGGTAACTTACCGCATAACCGAGGACTATCTGGTAACTTACTGCATAACCGAGGACCTACCTTTTCCGTGCAAATAGAGCAATATTGATAAAATTGATAAATTCATGAACGCATTTTTTATTGCAAGAGGGCCCTGAACTGCAATGTTATATCTAATCTTCTGTTAATCTATTTTCCTATATATTTAATGATAATCGAAAAGATTGATATCACTTTTATGAATTTATTTGATGCGTAAACAGATCCAACAATGGGTAGCTGACATGGCCAGTGAAAACAGTGACATTATCGAACCATTCCTGCTCGGAAAATCATATGAAGGAAGAGAGATCAACGGATTCAGGGTAACCATCTTGACTATTTGTTTGCAAGCTATCCAGGATACAGTTTAATAAAATGTTGATTTTATTCTTAAAGGGATCGTTTAACAATGTTAAATCTGAGATGCACGGCCCTACGTATTACCAGTGTCTGTGATATGGCCTAATATTGAAGCTCTAAAAAAAGTGCACTTCAAATTTATCATAAAGTGCCTCAAAAAAGTAAAATTCTTTGAGTGACCGGTTTTACCATATTCATTTTCCACAATAGATTGTAGTATTATAAAACCGTTAGGAAAACGAATTTTAAATTTGGATTTCCAATCAGAAATATCTTGATAATCAGACAGGCGATCGGCTTGTAAAACTCACGGGGTTCCTGACTGACCTAAAGCTTTGTAATTATCATTGCAGCATGGCTAAATCCAGGATTTTGTTTTAGAATCTGAGACAAAGTTACCTAATCCCTTTAGTCATGAAATGAACGATTGAGAAGGAACGTGTAACTAGGCATTTGATTTTGCTAACCCGTAACTAGTCGTCGGCATTCTGAAATCTCAATCAGATATATTTGACTTTTTCTCCACACCCCCCCCCCCCCCCCCCCCCCCACAAGATCCGAGGAACTGGAAGCCAGTCTGCTAACCCACCAGGTGTCTGGTTTGAGGGCGGTATTCATGCTCGAGAATGGGTCTCACCATCTACTGTCATGGGATTCACTCAAAAGGTAGATAAAGAGTGAGTGTCTGTGAGGGGAATAAGAAAAAGGAAAAAGTTTAACAAATCGCAAGAACCAAAGGCTGATAAAGCTATCTAATTTCACACTGCAAAGTAAATATTTCAATTGATAATTATTAAAGTGATCTAGATTACCAAAGTGAAACACTTGCACAATTACGATAATATTTAAATTAAACTGAACTTGAATTGTAGAAAGAAAATAAAATCATACGAAGATGAAAATATTTAAAAGGCAGTTAAACGGAAGGGCACTGTAAATAGTTAAATAAACCTTTAGATATCATATCGGATGTTCTTAAATTTCTCCTGGAAACTGTTTATGTCTTCATTGTTTTCTTTAAGCTTATAGACCAATACCGGTTAAACGAGGATCTTGCTGTGAGGATGTTTGATAATATAGACTGGTACATCGTTCCTTCTCTGAATGCCGACGGGTACAGCTACACATGGACAAACGTAAGAGTGGGGATAGTTAAGACAAGCCCAGTCTCATATTTCGGATGACGACGAATATGAGCGAGTCCACGATATTTTGTCACATACGTTACCACCGTCGTCTATAGTATTCAAATATGGACTGCTTTGAGGGGCACAGTTATAGGTAGATGTTGTGTGTCCGGACATGCGGTTGCGTATCTGAACAATTATTTAAAACAGCAATTTGAAGAAGCTTACAAGCAATAGTTCATAAATCTTCTAAAACTTATGTTGGAAAATATTATATTGGGACAAATATTCATGATGGTCAGTGCTATTTATTCAATATATTTTGTTTAATTAAATCTCAAGGCAAAAGAGATGGTTTTATTTTTGTTAGGTGTCCGGCCACCCAACCCCCCATCATAAAACTATAACCCAAGGTGATCTAGAAACTATACGAAGTTGAGGGGACATAGTGCAGGCTCGAGATCACCGAGGAGCTGTAGTTTAAACGGGACCCGAAAATTCAGCAGTCAATATTAGTTTCATATACCGCATCTCACGTTTGGATTCTCAAAAAGACAATGAATTAAGTTAATTTAATCTAAATCTAAGAGAAGCGCGCGTATATAATGCGTGCATCCATTGTTGGCTTCATGAGCAGGTACGTAGTCACGGGGGGGGGGGCACGTGCACGTGCCCCCCCCCCCAAAAAAAAAAAAAATTCTCAAGATCGGTTGAACTTTTTTAGACCCCTCCCCAGGACGTCAATCGATTACATGTATGTGCTGCCCCCCCCCCCCCCAAAAAAAAAAAAACCCATCAAACTCTGGCTACGGCCCTGTTCATGAGCACCTGTAGTCCAGAACCTGGCCTATTTAATTTTGATCTCCACCCGGATCTCCACCACACCAACGCAATTATTAACTTGCTGCCAGCCGGAGATGGCGTGATCATTAAATTAGGACGCCCGGCGAAAAAAAATATAGGCTGGGCTCCTGAGCGTATATGAGTTCGTTGATAACGCCATCTTCGGTGGCTTGAATCATTTATAGGGAATATGATAATGAAGAACCGGCCAGATTCTGGACTAGAGCATTTATTGCGTCCGGACGTCCCTGCATCGTATGCGCGAGTAGAACTGTGCCCGGTCAATATTTATTGCTTTTCTGCCTAGCAGTCGGTAGTGAATTTCATGCCTAGAGTTTTGACCAATCAGAGGGCGAATTGTATTACACCCCATGATACTGTCAAGTTAGCCCTGCTATAAAGCTGGGATCAATAACAAGGAAAATTACAAATGCGGTGTTCATTTTTTGTTGTTTATTTGTCTTTTTCATTGGTAACGTATGGAACTGCAAATGGATCTTGGACCTGCCGATAAATACATGATATTATATGAACTACATCATCACAGTAGCGAAGGTTAATGGTCATTATTTAAGTGTACTAAAGTAGGGGGAGGTTGGAGGACACGCCCCACCCTAAGATTAAAGATTCAAGAACCAAGATTCAAAAATCGTATCAAAATTATAGAAAATGATGGTGTAAAAGGGAAGGGGAATTATTAAGGATCGTGTAAAAAGGAAAGTATGACCCTTTTCTAGACCTTTCTAAAAACAAAAAATTATTAAGTTCATACTAAGTCTTGAAACCAACGACGCGGAGCCACGAAGAAACGGAGTGAGTAAAATGTTTGTGAAAACTTTTCAAAGGTTTGAGCATGTTAAGAAACAGGGTTAGAGGAAGGAATCTTTCCACAAAAAAGCATGGAAATTAATGAGCGTATGAATAACTTTATAAGCAGAAGAGTTAACTTTACTTGAAAAATACCATTACTCATGTTGTTGTTTTTGCAGGACCGTTTGTGGCGCAAGACCCGTTCACCCAATGCAGGTGCTGCCTGCACCGGTACAGATCCAAACAGAAACTGGCCTTATCAGTGGGGAGGTACATACTTTTATCATAGTTTTCAATTCTCGAATTTTACACAGATATTCAAGAGAATTGAACCGATGGAAAGATTATTCTTTTGCTCTGTACATTTCATTTCATTAGTTTCCCCCTCCTTCTATCCACCTCTCTTGGAGATCTTCGAATATTACTACACTGTTAAAAGGTTGGGCAATATCTTTTCAACACTTTGCCCAACGTTGTGCCAATAGTCAACCCCACCATCTATTGGGCAATATTTTGCCCAGCGGTATTGGTAAACGTAAGTACCCTACTTCACACGTGCATAATTGTTTCGTATTTAGACCAAAATTTGGGCAAAGATATGACCCTTCAACTGCCCGTCTACGGTAGCCCACTTGTTGGGAAAATCTTGACCAACTGTTGGGCAAAATACGAAAATATTGCCCAATAGATGGTTGGGTTGACTATTGGCAAAGTGTTGGAAAACATTGCCCAACCTTTTCACAGCGTACCACTACTTCGACTACTACTACTACTACTACTGCTGCTGCTGCTTCTGCTACTACTACTACTACTACTACTACTACTACTACTACTACTACTTCTATACTACTACTACCAATACTACTACTACTACTACTACTACTACTACTACTACTACTACTACTACTACTAACATTGCTGCTGCTACTATACGTCTACTACTGTCTTCTGCTACAAACACTGCAACTTACAATAATCCTAGGACTGGACCTAACCAAAAACCCATTTCAGCCCTAAGCCTGGTCCTATACTTTTCGCAAATTAATTCAAGCCCGGATCAGTTGCCGGCTTGTCGCGGGAACATATGCCGGGTCACTGATTGTTGGGTTTGGTCTTCTTAAAGGCCACGTCTTACTGGAAGATAGTATTAATATTTAAATTTCAACCCGATTGCTGCTGTTATTAAATTTGGCTTTGTGTGTTTCGTCCTTTTTTAGGCGTCGGAACCAGCCCATGGCCGTGCTCGGACATCTATCACGGTTCTGAGGCTCTCTCCGAGGTCGAAGTCGCTAACGTCGTCGCGTTCTTACGAAAGAAGAAGGCCGAGGGACAGGACTTCATGGTGTTCATTGACTGGCACAGTTACTCACAGGTCATCATCTCACCGTGGTCCTACCTCGACTCAGATCCTCGTACGGAGGACTACGATGACCAGGTAATATTATTACATTTTTTAGTTATCTGATTTGTTTCGTCATGCCTTGTAATAATTTACTTTTCATTAAATTGTTCAGTGCTTTACATTGGCCGTTTTCTCAATCCTCATATCCTTAAGAAAAACATAGTCGAATCATTATATCGAGAACGTTCTTTTTGTGTAAAAATATCTACTTTCTTCAAATTGTTTCTTTTATGTATTATGTAAGTAAAATAATGAAATAGACAAACAAATCTATCATAATCATGTTTGTTCATTTTACCTTATGATTTAGATGACAATGGCTATTGCAATGAGTGATGCTATTTTGGCCACTTCGCAGAAAGTGTATGGTTACGGTGCGGGAGCAGAAATCTTGTGTAAGTCAATACGAATCTAGTGGGAACAGCGTGGTTTATCGGTGAAGGCTCTTATACGAGAGGTCTCGGGTTCGGTCCTTGCTCGGTGCTCACTTTCTTGATCAATTCGTTTTACCCACATCAGTCTGTGTCTCTTGGCCAAGGTGTATTAAATGTGTACCTAGCAATGCTGAGGTAAATATTAATTACAGCCTTTACAGGACCCGTAGGAAGGGAAGTATTAATGCCATGGTCACAACCGGCCGTACACCTCACTACGTCTGCTCTGCGACGAATTTCGTATAGAAAGTCAAAAAATTGTATTCTAAAATACTAAATTTAACATGCTTAGTAATCAAATTTAACTCCGATTGTATCGTTCAAATGGCCTAGTGTATTTTCACCCGAGGCTTATCGCAAAGTTTTTATCCATTAATAAGTTTGAAATAATAAGTGATCAAGATGATGATATAGATGATGTTGATAATGAAGATGTTGATGTTGATAAATATAGCAGAAGTAGTAGTAGTAGTAGCAGTACTAATAGTACATGTAGTAATATGTATGGATATTGTTGTGAATTGTCTAATTTATAGTTTTGTGTCGGAGTCAGGCCTTAACTGAATTGTATTTTCACAAAGAAAGGACGAATGATGAACACTATCGTTGTCTGCAAACATCTTACATTAAAAAAATTCCTTCTCCCTTTTCTCCTCTTCTTCTTCTTCTTCTTCTTCTTCTTCTTCTTCTTCTTCCTCTTCTTCTTCTTCTTCTTCTTCTTCTTCTTCTTCTACTTCTTCTTCTTCTTCTTCTTCTTCTTCTTCTTCTTCTTCTTCTTCTTCTTCTTCTTCTTCTTCTTCTTCTTCTTCTTCTTCTTCTTCTTCTTCTTCACAGACCCCGCAGCAGGCTCGAGCAAGGATTGGGGCTACGCCTCTTTCTTAGAAAATCGGGGCGACACTGTAGGGGGGCTTGGGGCCAAGTATTCTTACACGGTGGAGCTCCGTGACACGGGCGAGTACGGGTTCCTTCTCCCTGAGGACCAGATACAAGACACCTACGACGAGATTCACGCTGCCGTGCGCGCCATTGGCACCCATGTCCTCAACGAGCTTGGCCTATGAAAACAGCCTAGACTCTCGACCACCAACACCAATCATGGGTTATGTTTCTGATATTCAATCATGTTTCTCTCTCTCTCTCTCTCTCTCTCTCTCTCTCTCGCTCTTAAACTTATGGGGCGTTGCAAGGATTGATCGAATTAATTTCGTATCATACCTTGTTGTAATATAATTGTTTTATCGATGTTAACATCATGTGATTCTGCTATATGCATGTGGTGGAGCTGAACGTTAGAGGACAACAGTGACTTTTAAAAAAATATATAAATCCTGCTCTTATCCAATATTCATGATCTAATAGCGGCAAAATTTATCAGAATTCTGATCTCACTTGTAAACGTAGTTATCTAAGCCACGTGGCATTGAAATGGGCCAGGTTTTAACCGTCGAAATCTTGGGAGTATTAACGCATGTCATAATAGCATGAACGAAGAGGACAATATATCTTTTTTTGTAACGCGTCAATTCGAAGGCAATATCAACAGCCTATAGAAATACAGTTCGGATTATGTAATATTTTTGTTGCCTTATTTTGATTTTGATTCTCGAAAGTCTTTGCGATCATAATAGTTCGATAAATAAAGAAATGGCGTTACCGCTTTGATTGTGGTCTTCGGCTCCTAATATTAAGATATCCACGTTACTTATCACAGTGCTAAACATATTATACCTTTCATCGAAATCAATAAATGAACGTGAATGTTAATCCACGTATAAATGACAGTCAGTATATTCATTTGAGTCATTTGTCTGCAATAACATAAAGAACAATATCAGGTCTTAATAATAATGCATGTAGACTGTGATCCTAAACACATTTTGAATGTAGAAAACTTTTGTAAAAAGTCATACCCAGAACCCAGTGCCAGGTATGAAAATATTTGACAGGAGTGGAACGTTATCACATTTAAATGACTAGGGCGCCATCTTAATTTTCCCGCACACTTTACGATCATCCTGCGTTCTGATTTTTGAAGGAATAGTAATTTTATTTATGAAATATGGACTCTAAACAAATATCGCCCTCCGTATTCAGGTTTTATATAAAAATAAGAATACTAACAATCGAAAGGTGGTGCATTTAAATCTTTTGGTGAGAATTAAAGCCAAATCGACTTCAAATCGTAGAGGATCGTATTATTAATCAGCTGTCAGCAACTTCAATAAGGGAGTTTACAGATAGCACATGGTACAAATGACCCCAAATATCCACAGATCCTTTACACATGGAGAAGTGCCACTTTGAGCATATTAGAATAATAACTGCCAAAGTCCTAGATGTGCTTCATGAATACCTTTTGTTTGCCCTCTTGAAAAGAATACTGCGTATCATAGAATGTACCGTTGGTGCATAAATGAATAATGTTACATAACTTTCATGAGCGCATATCCAGTATTCATCTCTGTGGATTTTACCTTTTTGGTACAAATGACCTTTATCTGCCCATGTGCAGATTGTATCTGTAAACTCCCTTATTCTGAGTCGATTTAGCTTTTCCTCTTCCAAAGAGGATGAAGCATCAAAAACCCTTGAAATTTAGATTTGATCAATAATATTGAATGAATATTAAGGTTTATTGCCATTTGGTCTACAACCAGTTCGTCTACTACCCAAGTCTATTCCCATATAATGTACACCGAGCACATCTAATCTATCCATATGGTCTAACAATAATTTAATCATAAATAATACTTATCCTCAAATGATTATTAGACTTTATGGATAGTAGACGGATTGGGCATTAGACAAACTGGGAATTAGACCGACCGACTTATTGAAGATTAGACCAAATGGAAATTAGACCAAATGTGCATACATTGTGTGCGGGTAAGCCTTGAATCTGATGACCGGGGTAATAGTATATATATCTGTAAGGCGCTTTGATAGGGCCCTCCTGAAAAAGCGCCATATAAGAAATAGTTATTATTATTATTAATGATGAGAAGACGAAATGGTTATTAGGCCAATCAATGGCATGCGGATAGTAGACGGGCTGGGCGTACACCATACGGGAATATATTAATTGGGTAATAGACGAACTGGTTGTAGACCGAACAGCAATTCAGCACTATTCGAATCCTCGATCATTGCGATTGCGTCCATATCAAGTGACGTCGCAAATTCGTCCCAAATCGGATCGTAGTCAAATGTAGTGTGCGGTAGACTGAAAGTTCATCTTATCCCATATAGTAGGATCCGACAAAAATGCAATCCCAAGTTTATTTTGGAAATTCAAACAAATCTAATCTTTCTAATTGAGATGCAGAACAATGATTATGAATATTTAAAAACCGAAATTTTGCCATCGTGAGCCTTCTTTTCGGAGTGATAAAGACCAAATCGGTTTCAAATCATAGACAGTCGCACGACGAGTCTGATGATACTACGAACATTCTTCGGTTTCCTGCCCAAAAAGAGACTTGCATTGCTCCGACATTTCGATTCTACTATTCATGTTTCTTGAGTGTTCATATCAATGATATTGCAAGTTATTGAAAAACACCATTCGTCAAATACATTTATTTTCCATTTTAAAATAGGTTAAAACAACAAGGTTAAAAAACGTAAAAGCAAAACGAAACAAAGGTGAAGGCCGAGAGCAACACTCAATACAAGATGTCATAAAACCAACCGACCAAACCGACAAACAATATGCTATATTCGTGAGAGTCCCGTGAATGTTAAAGGCCCTATCCGATGAAAATAAAACTTGATATCAATGGAAAACTGAATTAATGTTTAATACAGATATAAAGGAATAAAAAGTATTACCCTTTCATTATTGCACAAAAGCAAATTAAAACCTTATTTTCAACACCCCTCCAAATTACGGGTCAACATGGGTCAACTTTGCCAAAGTTACAGGGACGACATAACATGTGAATTCCATCGGTTCATCTATATAGCTGAGGCGATGAGCCGTGCTTAATTAATGCAAAGTCATTGTGAATATGCGTACCTTACATAAAATGATGTCCTCAAGTCGATAGCAAGTTTTAGGGTCGACAATTTCCGATTTTCTAAGCTTTGGATTTTGAGTTTTCAGAGAGCTGATACTCCTCTGACTGAAACTAAAATGGCATTTAATTGATGTTGTCGTAACCTACGGCTTATAAGCTTTCCGTTGATGTATAATTCATCTGTTCCATTTTTCAGTTCGGATATGGTTTTTAAAGGTTTACTCTTTGTTTGTCATGAAGTGGGAGTATGTGTTTTTTAAATAAATAAACCCTCGATGGTGTTCATCCGTAAATATATTTCACCTCATGCTGTCAGTCGCGCGTCCATGAAATCAATGTGAAATAAATCGGGGACTATTTCCTCTACCCCCCCCCCCCTCCCCCCTTCTCTCTCTCTCTCTCTATCCCTCCCTCTCTCTCTCTCTCTCTCTCTCTCTATTCCTCCCTCTCCCACTCTCTTCCTCTGTCTGGATCCACAAGTGCTCTATAATTTCGAGAATGGCGTGTTTAAACTCCGTTGCTATATCGGGGTAAAGTGTAAGGTTGCCATGGACTGAGGTTAACCATAAATTGGTTAGCATACCACATGTTTTTCGATTGTTTTGTGATTAACGATGATACTGAGATGATAATAATAACGATAATAATTATAATAATTTTCGAAATAATTATGATAATAATAATGATGATAATGATAATGTAATTATAATGATGATGATGATGATGATGATGATGATGATGATGATGATGATAAAAATAACAACAATAATAATAATGATAGTAATAATGATAATACTGATGATGATAATAATGATAATGATAATGTTAATATTCATAATAATCTGGGATTTTATAGCACTTAATACATCGACGATCTCTGCAAGTGTTTTTGTAAATATCTAATATAATTCAATCAAAATATATGGACCAATGGAGTACATAGCATATTATTGGAGTAGGTCGGGGGCTATTCCCACAATATGTGCGCTTAGTATTTTAAATAACCAAAGATAATAAGAAGAAGATGTACAGAAGAAACACTGCCCATATTGACAATGATACATAAATTATGTATAATGATACAGATAGCTTTCTTTTATTATTGATATCGCTCCTGTCCGTTTCGCCGCGCCGCTCCTGATCGGCTCAAACATTATAACCATGATCATGATATAAATCGGCTAAAAAAGGGCACTTATCTGGTACCCATTCTAACAAATAAAATATTCTTCCGCTGTGCAGATGTTTGCATGATTCTTTTTGTTGTATCCTGGCTTTTTGGCCTTCAACTTGTTGACAGCTTAACACGTTATTGTTTGGATCTTATGCGTGGGTGATCTTCAAGTTTGCGGATCTAATTGGAGAGAAAAACAAATATTTGTGGAACAGTGGCAGTCTTCTTGAAGTCTACTTTCAGCCATGCCGCCCTTGACCGGTCCACTGTAAGCATGCAGAGCGATCACAATTGAAAACTTACAAAGAGAGAAATGCCCTGTGCATCAGAGATTCTTTGTGGTAATATATGTTATAGACACGTAGTCTATTTTTATGGCATTGACCAGTTCACACTTCTCCAGCAGTCTACTAGAAAGTCACTTGTTTCAAAATCAGATCAGAAACCAAAATAATTTACTAAAGGAAACCAGGTCAGTGTTAAGGATGTTTTCGTAATCCAAATACAAGATTGTTGATAGCATTACGTTTGTGGATCAGCAATTAAGTGACTATACGCCCTTTCGGAATCAGTTTAGATAAGCAACACTCCCTCTCTCTAATAATCTAGCGATGATGATGATGATAATACATGTATCAGTAATAATCAGAATAATTATTCTTATTATAAGATTTATATAGCCGGCCCCTTCATAATGTCAATATCCCTCTAAAGTTTCTGGTTCACCGCTACGCCATAGGGCGCCATGCACTGTTCAAAATGGAAAGTGTATGTTCTGCCAGTAGATTCTCTCATCGTAAGGATATATATATATATATATACAGTCGAACCTGTCTATAGCGACCACTCGAGGGAAACACAAAAAGTGGTCTTTGCAGACAGGTTCCTTTTTAAATTAGTACATGTTTCAATGATAAATCATTATCAAGATAAACAAAAGATGCGGTCTTTGTAGACAGTCACTAAAGCAGGTTTGACTATATTTATATATATTTATACAATTTCAAATTAAATTATACGCTTACCAAGTTTTGTATTTTTTTAACTATGTAAAAATTGATTTGTCCTGAATTATATTGCTTGACAATGTGACATATTAAAGCTTACATCTAAAATTATTAAACAAAGGCCGTAATTCAACCAGGGGGGTGTTTCACAAAGATCCTAAGTCGATCTTAACTCTAAGTTGGACTTAACAATTATGGAAAGCCGATAGCATCTTTGAAATTATTTTGTAAAAGCTTTTTTAAGAGGCATAAAATGTTGATTCAAATCATTCATAATTTTCTATTATCAAGGAGAATTCATGTTCTTGATGTGGAATTTATAAGAAGTCTAAAATACTTGAATTTTCGCTTTGAACATATTTTATTTTAAGGCTACAAATGGCTCTCCATAATATTTAAGTCCAACTTAGAGTTAAGTTTGACTTAGGATCTTTGTGAAACACCCCCAGACCACCTTTCATTCTTGAGGCACGAAACCACCAAAAAAAAAATGTATATAATTCAGTGATATAAACTATTATTGTTACATAACTACATCAATATAATTTGTTTGTAATTAAATGTGTTGAGTCTCTTTTTAAAATCTCCTCCATCGCAGTAATATACTTTATCCTATCATGCTTACATATTATGTCTGTATGTATGTAATGTTGTGTGTCACATGTCTTTGCTCATGCTGGTTCCCACTTTGTCATTATATATCTAATGACATGAACTTTAATCACACGGTTATTTTTGTGCTGTTGACTTTGTCATTGAGCGCCGTTGATTTGTGTGCTGGTAATTTGACACTATACACATTCAAAGACACCATAGGACCATTTCTCAAATTGAAGGTAAAAGCTTTCAGTTGAACTCATCATACTGATTTTGTTCCTGCGTTGTTGGTTTTGTCGTCCGAGGTCATTATTCCTATTCACCGAATCACCGTGCTGAAAAGGGGAGTTGCAAAAAAAACCTCCTTCTTATTCTCAAAAGATGGTCGAATTCGTCATACCATCACAATGCAGGCTTATCCGAGTGATCTTGTTCAGACCGGTCAGACTACAATAGGGGCCTTACGTCACGCATCAGTAGTCCTGGACTACTGGATAACGGACTCATTAAGAGCCTGATGCTCGTTTATATGCCCCCTTGATGACGAATGAAACGCGTGAACTTATGAAAATATATGTATATAATAACATGCAATTCTTATGATATATGATTTGAAAAAGAGAAGGGACATTGTAGTATTTTGACAAGTACGTTTTATATTAACGTATCAATTGATCTAGAACGTTTGAATCTTGTTAAACTACCACTTTACACTCTTGGTGAAAGTTTGGCGCTCATTTATGACCAACATGAAGCTACTGTACAGACGCCGGTACCTGCAGGGCTATGGTTAATGCTTATAGTGCCCGATCTGTGTTCATATCACGGACAGAACTGTTTTTTGTGCTCTACTGCGCTCCATTGTTGACTTTCTGCGTAGGTGGGGGTCCTATTGTATGCTAACAATAAAGGAGAGAGAGCGAGAAACACGCCAATATAATATGCATTGTACATGTAGTTAGCAGAGTCTAACTTTCCTTACCGATATAACAGTACAGCACGTTTTTATGCACTTGGAGAAACTGTGCTTCTTTTGGTGCGGCGTCGAACAGCCAAGGTCGTGGGAACGTCGATCAGGACTTGTCACTTCAGATCCAAAAGGCACTTGGCCTAGACCTGTTTTAGACACTTTGCGATGTTAGCTGTACGAATGATCTGCATTTGCGAATACACACGTTGGTAATGTGATATATGCGTCCGGATGAGATTTGTTAACGTTGAATTGGTGTAATAGTGATTGAAGCTTATGCAGTGACATCACGCTTGCAGCATGTCTTTCCTGAAAAAATTCAACAGACAGAAGAGCGTGGACTTGGAGGAGGAGGCGAGGAAAAAAGATGAGAAGGAGAAGGCGTCGGAAATGAGGAGGGCAAAACGTCACAGCGTTCACGTCAGTTCCAGAAGGGACAAGCCAGACGTCGCTGTCGACGCGCAAAGCAAGGATGATTCTATCGTCGAGGACAAGGGAATGCAGAAGAAAAAGGAAGCGGACAGGAAGGAACGGGAGAGGAGAAAATTTAAGGACATGTCGGGCATGGTGATGACAAGCTCGAATGAATACCCTGTCTTCATCGTCCACTATCTCGGGCGGATGCCGGCAGATGCCGAGTTTGGGCGCCAGGCCGTGGAGGACCCCGTTCACCAGCTATGCAAACTCCGTGTGAAGCAGAAACTGCCAAAGACACTTCTGGCGTTTAATGTTGACGGGATGATGTGTCGGGAAGTGACGGGTCCTTTCTTGAAACCTAAGAAGGAAGGATGTACCTTCTTCATCCCGCTGCATCACATCACATACGGGGTTGCGTCTTTGACGCATCCTCAGGTCTTTGCGATTATCAGTAAGATGACGGACGACCCCTCACCAGCCAACCAGGTCCTGGTGCTTCATGCTTATCTGTGCGACAAGGCGGAGGACGCTCAGGGACTGACTTACTGGCAGCTTCAGGCTTACATCGAAGCCTTTGAAGATCTGAAGAGGAAACGGATGCTGAAGCAAAGGAGACAACAGGCTATGGGCAAGCATGGCCCACCTCCATCTTTAGAGGCGGGTACCAGTGGTGGTGCTCCTGCAAGTGATAGTGCTGGCCCTGGCGGTGCTCCTGCTCCCCCAAATGATAGTGGTGGCCCTGGTGGTGCTTCTGCTCCTGCTGATGGTAGTAATGACGGTGTTGGTAGCAGGTCATCAACCAAGAGCAAACACAAAAATCCTCCTACATCCACCACGTCATCATCATCCTCATCGGCATCATCATCTACCAAGGTAACGCCAACCCCAGCTCGGAAAACATCCGACAAGGATGTAGATGAAAGACAGGATATCGTCAATATGTCGCAGAAGCAGGTCCCTGGTAAAATGAAGATCGATGCATGGCCACCATCCAAACGAGGCCCCCCTCCCAAGCTCAGAGGGCCCCCACCAACTCTGGAACCGCTCCAAATTGGTGGCCCTCCTGCAGGGCAGAATGGGAGATCCGCACAGGGTAGGACGGACTCCAAGGACTCAGCGTATGGTGAGGGCGAAGATGAGTTCCCCATCGCCTTCTCGCCGACTTCAGCGTCGGCATCGCAGTCGTCTTCGATGACGGGATCGGTATTCCCCGGAATCGCTCCGAGGAGGCCGAGCGAGTCCGATCCGAACAAGACTGCATCTTTTGAGAGCAGAATCAGTGAGCTGCAGAACCTTGTTACAATGGATGCTGAGAAACTCAAACAGCTCATGATCAATGATTACCCAACACTGTCAAGGTAGGAATACTCATGATATTCACATATTGTATAATTTTTATGTTTGTATATAAACTCCTTGTCCTCCTCCTTTTACTACTTTTCACTACTACTGCTGCTGCTGCTACTATGTACTACTACTTCTACCAATACTTCTACTTCTAATTTATACTACTACGACTACTTCTACTGCACCACCCTCACCTTCACCACTACTAGTACTACTACTACTGCTGCTGCTGCTGCTGATATAACTACTATTACTACCAACGCCACCACTAACTAATAAGGCTATAACCTCTGCTACTACGATTACTTCACTACTACCATACTACTACTACATCTACTTCTACTACTACTACTACTACTACTACAACTTCACAACCACTACTATACTATACTACTACAATAAGTACAACTCCTCCTCCCCTCCTCTTCTTCTTCTCTTCTACCTCTTTCTGCTCCTGCTCCCCTCCCCCTCCTCCTCACTCGTGCCTCCTTCCTACATGTACTTGATAATGATTATAATAGTAATCTCGAAAAAAACGATTTTGATAGCCCCTTGATATGATAGCCATGTTTATATTAATGATGATAAGTCTTAAAGGCTAAGTCCACTCCAAAGATGATTTGCTTTTAACAGATGACTTTTCACAAAACCTTTTATGATCTTTGATGAATTGATACTATTCCTGAATATTGTATATTCATTATCATTGATTTTTATATAAATAGTTCATCAAAATTCACATTTTTCATGATTTAACTAAAAAAATTGCACTTTATTATTGCATCCACACAAACACATATTACTATCAATCTAACTTGGATGCTGGTGTGAAGAAATAAGATTCTTAGGGGGAAATAGGAAATCTATATTATCAATATAAAGAAAACAATTAGTGGATAGTGAGGCAATGACGTCACAGACTCGTGAGTGAGTTGCCGGTATGTCTTTGATTTTCAAAGTTGTTCATGTCATTACAAATTCATAATTTTCTTATTAGTTATTCGATTTTGCTCAAACTTGTTTTGTTGGGTGTGTCTGATTTTTCTCCTTCCATTGAAAGTAAGTTATTTTTGGAGTGGACTCGCCCTTTACCAATAACGATTGAGAAAATAAGAATTCTTAGAGTGATATTACACTGTACTACAGTAGTACCTAACAGAAGTTTCTGTTACATGCTAATTCACCACCACCATTACTACTACAGCTCCAACTTATCATGTTATCCTCTTAAACTGCACCTCTAACCTTTTCCGCTCTTATTTCATTTTCTCTTGTAAGAGCTACATGTATGCATACAAAAAGTATTTTTAGTGCAATTTATATTATAACAAAATATTAATTATTATCATGTTGTATTGAAAGAGGTGTAAAGCAGCATCTAATCACATATGATTTTGTGTAGAATACTTTTCCACTTTATGTGTGTGTATGTGTAGGGCCTGTTTTTTGTTGTTGTTTTTTTTCTTCTTCTTTTTTTCAACCTTTTTTTATCTGTTGTTATACGAGTTTTCTTTGGGGCAAAACAAGTTTATGTAATTTCAAATCTTTATTATGTTCATCACATTTTGTTTAATTATTTTGGGGGAGCTATCTCGACAAACTCATTTATTTGGGTTTTTATAACTACCCTTTTCCCATTATTGTTTGATATGTTAATGTACTTATGTAAATTCTAGTGACAGATTTTGCATGTTATTTACAGTACCTTGTTGAAAATGTATGTGTTTTTGAAATGTGATTTTTATGGAAATGAATTGAATTGTAATACCATTGCAATTTACATTGGCATGCTCTTACTATGTCCTTTTCACTTTACCTTACTGCAACTTTATCGTTCTTTAGCTTGCTTCAACAATAACCCACCTTTTTAATGGCCTTCAGAACTAAATTGATTTAGTAGATTCCGAGTAGAAGTAAACAAATTGGCTACATATTTCACTCAGAATAAACGCAACGGTTGGTTGGTTTGGATTAAGTGCAGTGGTACATGGTTGGCAAATCTTGATAAATTTTTTTTCGATATAAGTTTATGCTTCTGTTTGTTACCTTATTATCTCATGCCTTGACGATGGCCCTGTATGATAGTTTGTTTAATGAAGCCTGTACATTTTTTTAATTGAAAATAAAAATGGTTCTGGTCTAGCGCTCATGTCTGTCAGACACATACGTGTAGCTGCCATTTGGCACTCTAGCATTTTAAGGAATTGCCAGGTTCCCATTTACCTAACCTGGGTCGAGTGTGGCAAATGTAGATTAATGTCTTGTCAAAGGAGCTTAGTGCGCGGGCAGGGATTCGAACCCCGTACCCTGTGGTTTACAGTCCGGCGGCTTATCCACTATAGACCACAACACATATAGTAGTTATTCATCAACAACCAAGAACACGTACTTGAGTTACAAACAAGTAGTCTAGGATAACTGTCTACAATATGATGTTTCTCTCTGTCTTCATAGTCTTTGCCTTCAAAGTGGCTCTGATCGAATCCAGGTTCGAAATTAAGTAACACCTTTCGGATGGTGGCATTAATGGTCAGTCGAACCCCGATTCGAAGTTAAGTCACGTCTTTCGGATGGTAACGTTATAGGTCGGTTGAACCCAGATTCGAAATTAAGTCACGTTTTCCAGATGGTGACGTCAAAGGTCGTTCGCAAATAGTCGAATAGTCGAAATAGTCTGAATGATATACACGTCTGTAAAACCCAATTACACACAATAACAAGATTATGAATGAATCTTAAAACCGTATATGTACGTGCGGATACTTCTAAATGAAAACGACCTTGCCCTCTTTTCTCTTTGTTCCTCATATTAGGATCGTCGATATTATATTCCACAGCCACATGTAATTTCTGAAACTATCATAGAATGGGAACGCCCCAAAATAATGCCATATCCGGTTAAAGATATTGTTGAGTTCTGGTCATGCATTGTGAAAGAAAAGGTGCGGAATGGATCAGAACAAGTTGATCATGTAGCATGTAAATATTGGTGTGTAATGCAAGGTTCTGGAGTCATCAAAATCATAATCAATTTGGCCCAGTCTTGGTAAAGTAACAAGCACTGTACACAGAAAGATGTATATGGGACTACTCAAATAGTGTCGGGGCTACTGATTTCCTTATCTTTTGATGCTCATTACTCAGCCAGTATACATTTTCTACCAAAATTGTTTGGCAAATGACAATTGTTTGTAATCTTGAATATTCAGTGTAAGTTTCGTTTGATTATGTTAGAATTCATTATCTTTTTTTACCAGAACTCAAGTTTATCTTTAACTTGCAGAAACTTCTTTGATATAAAGGAATTCGGGCGGAGCTCGAAAGCAAATACTCGAAGACGTCATACATTGTATTCTTTCGCATGCCGATTGGTCTCGCATACAATAAAGTCTGCAAACTTGAATGGGCCTACGTTTGATATTCCAGATTGTTAAAACGAGAAAGGAAAATTAACCATTGATAAAAAGAAAGAATTTTGTCTAATAATAATAATAGTAAGTTGGCACCATTCTGCGTCACTTTCCCACCACACCCTATACACCCTATGTCCTCTCTCATGGCACCACACCTTTTATCGTGAATGTTCGAACATTAAAAGCACCGTGGCACTCAGGGTATCTTCGAAGTGAACAAGTGAGCATGTCCCCTCCCCCCCCCCCCCCCCCCCACTCACGACTGAAAGGAAGTAGAGGGGGTAGAGAGGAAAAGGTGAGGGGTGCCATTGCTCCTTAATGGCTCGACCTTTGCTCCACCAACGATAGGAGCATAATGTTACCAATGTTGTATAGCAGCGAGACCAGTCTACATAGATCTCGAGTTTTAATGTATTGAACTTTGACCCAGGCTCACAATGTTGCCGACGATGTAAAGCAGCGAGCCCAGTACATTCCTCGGATCTGGGTGTCTCGGGTTTGGTGTTGACTACGAGACATAATGCAGATTGAATGTTCAAGTTCAAATTTTTATTTCCAGATCTGATTTTAAAAAAACACAAGTACAATTTATATGCATATATACAATAATAAATGTTAAAATGAAACATCTTCAATTGAAATCATAATGTGATGGGGAAGAGAGAGGCCATTGGCCTATAAAGGTTATTCCTAAAGATAATAACATTTACATAAAAAAGTTTCTTAAATATCTTAAAACAAGATAAAAATACAAAGATTAAAATGACGCAAACATCAACATATAGAAATAAACCAGACAAATACATCCAAACAAATCAAGAAAGACATTTATGTAAAAAAAATTCTAGTTACACATATTCATTTACAAGATAATGCTTAAGCTTTCTTTTGAAAATTGACACTGTTGGGCATTGAAGTTCAAAAGTAATCAAAAGTTTCATACTGTCATGACTGTTCTTGGTCTGGGGACCCTTCGATCTCGACTACGACACTGGTAACATGCAATGGGGACTTGATATTTATTGGGAGTCGACGGTACCCAAATAAAACATACCCCATACAATGGGACCATAATTCAAATGATAGCAAAGACTTTCGAAAAATCTACCCAAGGAAGTTTCAAAAGCCTTTGCAGTCACCTTTTAGTTTGTGCTAACATCACAATGACGTATTAGGTCATTCCAACATAATTTGCATTGGATATATATTGACATTCCAGATTGTATGAAGTCTCTGCGATCTATTGCCAGCTATATACAGGACGAAATCATAATTATATTACAGGCGCAATAAATACGTAATAAAACGTATTTATTCAATGTTAAAAGTGTACACTCATGAACTCAGCGTCCAACACTACATGTACTTCCTTGCTTCTAAGTGAATTTTCTAATTGGTATGACTTTTTCTTGTAACCCTATCTTTTCTATTTGAAGTGCATAGGGACATGACATCCTGTAATGTGTTATGCGCTATAAAAGAACTGAGTATTATTATTATTACAGGCCATCGACCAATTGATTTCAACTATATCGTTATGTGTTGCTTAATATCAAGTAAAGGCATTGTATTGTTATTCACTGTAGTGATTGTGTTCCTACGTTACAATGATTACAATCTATATCCTTGTCTTGAATATTGATTATCTAAATTTACCATTGTGTGTGTCATTCTCGTATTTTAATGGCAATATCGTTTTATATAAAATAATTTAAATAATATTTAGCTTTTATATAGCGCTTGATACAATGTCTCTAAGCACTTTACAAATATACTATTACCCCGGTCATTGGATTCAATACTTTCCCGCATACACTGTGTGCACAATCTCCACTCCCTGTGGAGCATTCCAGCCAGGCATTACTTGACGCTCAAAGACTGGTTGACCAACAATGACGGTCGCATCCTACCTCTATTGTAAATGAAAGCTCGTATATTCTGTTTCGATCCACAACGATGTAAACGATCATAATTATGCTTTACAACAGAGTTAACGCCCCTGTGGCTCAGAATAGACGCTGAAACGGAAATGGTTTTGGTTTTTGTTCGGCATTTTATTTCAGTGTTAACCCTTTGTCAGTGGTTTAATGAACGTGAGGCCGAATGACTGCCTTTTATCACGTCTAATCATTTCCTTTTATCCAAATAGCCATAACCACCTTTCAAAACTTTTACACTATGAATAAAGATATTCACTCTTACTCTATGTAGAATTGCTACGTGCAGCAATACGCAAGAAGCATAGGAATTATAAAAAGAAAGGTATAAGAGAAATGACCTTCTGTAGACCAACATTAACAACAACATCAACAATATCCATCTAGTACAAATAATTTCCTTTTATCCAAATAGCCATAACCACCTTTCAAAACTTTTACACTATGAATAAAGCTATTCACTCTTACCCTACCTGCAATTCCTCAAATTTTCATCTAATAAACCCGAAATTACTTATTGCCCATAGATCCATAAGACACCATGATCCTGACCTATGGAACTCTCTCCCAGAATCTATTAATTCATGTTGCTCCCTCTACTCATTTAAGGCCAAAGTTAAAACGATGTTATTATCAGAATACTCAAGGTAGAATTAATTTATGTTTCATTGCCAGTAAAATATTTATTGTATTTCATATTATTGTTATCGAAACTGTAAACTTTCATGAATGCAGAAGAAAATCAAATGTCTCCTGAAATTCAGTAATGGTTTTCACTTAGCCAAAATGACCTTGTTTTGGTGTGTGACATTTCCATGCCGCGCACCTTTTTTTGAGAAGAATGTTGTATTAGCAAATGTTTGACGTCATTACTCTGTATTTTTCATTACCAAATTCCAATGCATTTTAAATGATTTGTTCAGTCACGTCTGCCTATATAAACAGATACAATATGAAGTCAGCGGGGTTTATAGACCGGGCATAATAATGCACAGTTCAAACAAGCTCATTTTCTCACGCAAACAACCATCATGTACTGTAGAATCATGCAGCGAATCGGCAAAACCATATTCAGTTCACGTTTTACAAACATAATTTAATCTTTTACAACGGAGCTGATTTTATGCAAAGATGCACTTGGATGAAAATATCATTGTCTACATTTTTTGTAGCGCAGAAAAAAGTAACTAAGATTGAATTGGGGGAAAATATAGGAGTGGCATTAAGTATTTGTTCAATGGTTAAAGGGTTTATCTCCGGGGGGGGGGGGGGTCACTCTCAGACACAAGTGCTACCCACCCGTGTCCATCAACCTCTGAAATGGACCCTAATGGCGTATCGCACCTTTTCTGAAGTGACCCTAAAGGCGTAAGTGTCGCACATGGGTCAAAACCTGTGAACCTGAAAAGGTACCTTTTTCGGTTTTTGTGCGATTAGTGCTTGAAATACACCCCCTTTTTAAGGAAAACGTCGACGACGCCGTATATAGCTGAAAACCATTTCGAAGCTTTTTTAGACGCGGGTGCGTATATAGCCAGTCATGTTAGGAGTGAACCCCCCCCCCCCCCCGATTAATCTTGAAATGTCAGTTCATTTGTCATGAGAAGAATAACTTATTTGTGTAACTGGACAAGAAAAAGAAGTGTGTTACCTTTTCGCACGCTATATAATATTCGAGCAAACAAATGGATATATCATTAGTTCAGTGTCGAATGTAAATAAAAGCTTTCTGAGAGGGCACAATATTCTCTATAGGCCATTAGTTAGTATACAGTTTATTCATGTACAATTACATCATATGCTAATTTCCGATTTTGATGAAAGAAATTTAGAAATTTAAAAAGTAAAGTATAGGCATCAAGTTGCTTTATATCTTACGTTTTGTGATAAAAGAGATTTTATCATTTACTAGTGATGTATAGAACTGTGATATCTAACAATCAATGATATAAGTCTATTAATTCCTCTTGCCCCTCTTTCGACGTATTGAGATTCTGTCCCCATTTAGTTTAATTATAAAAGTCGTATCAAGACTTATATAGTTGCTGTCCTGATAACAGTTTTTTTTCCCCATTCTACTTTTATTTATGGACAATATACTGCGCAACGATGATTCTCTCCCTCAAAACAACCACGGTAACCTTGTATCATATCTGAACTTAAATTACTATTGGAATCATGTTTGTCTAAATTCCACTTGGCGTTATTCGACGTATTAAGATTCTTTTCCCATTTAGTTTACCTGTAAAAGTCGTTGTCTAGTTGCTGTCTCTATAACAGCTTTGTCCATACTTTATGGACAATAGACTGTGCCATTATGATTCTCTCCCTCAAAACAACCACAGTAGCCTTGTATCATATCTGAACTTGTATTATTATTGGAATCATTTTTGTCTAGCTGGTCGACCAGAATGCGAGGCAAATACCACAGTCGCCCCCACGAGACCAACACCAGACTGACTACAGACCGAAAAAGAGAATGGCGTGACCCCCACTGAATTTTTTTTTTTTTTTAAATCGGTCGGTTTGCCGTTGGTTTTTGCGGTCGGACTGGTGTCACAGATCATCTATTCGGACAAAAAGAAAAGACTTGTTTGAAAACAGGATCTGATAGACTATTCTTGTAAATGATATTTAAATTGTACAGTTTTAGTAACTGCAATAGCGGATCCGGGATAAACATGGGGGCACAGATGAGTTTCTTTGACCAAACAAAAACATATCATTTTCAGGTATCCTTTTGGGGGCTTAACTGCTTCTAGTCCAGGAATCAGGGGCACATTGGGGATCACATTTGTATTATTTACTACATGTGCCGACAGTATCGACTCGAAACCAAATGGGAAAAATCGTTATATGATTAAAATTCTATGTAGAATTGCTACGTACAGCGATACGTAATAAGTAATAGGAATTATAAAAGAAAGGAGTGAAGTTACTTTCTGTAGACCAACGTTAACAACAACATGAGAAATTTCCATCTGGGGCCGTTTTTTCGAAACCCTCATGAGCCAAAGTAGTCTTGGACACCCCCCCCCCCCCCTAAATAAAAAAGTTTTAAATTACTACGTTTTACAGTGAGGTGCCTATACCATAAGTCCTCGAACTTAGATTTATGAGCAATATGAGCCCCTTTAATCCTGCTTTAAGTACCATTTGCTTAAGAATGGGAAGCATTCGGTTTGTTTAAACTGTACTATGAATATATCTCCCTATTCTGTAGTGCTTGGCAGTTGTATTTATCTAGCTCTTGATATTTCGGCAGATTTTAGTCATGGTTTTCCACGCTACACTCACTAATTCGTGATCACATTGCCCCTTTTAGTATGGATTTTTTTTAGTATAGAGACCCTATTAGAGACGTGTTATTCACATGAATATGTGGAGGGGGGGGGGATTCCATGTCGTTCTTCATTTAGTGATTAGGCTTAAAGGTATAGACCAGTTTCGGTCATGCGATTGCATTGTGGAAGAAACGGTGTGGAATTGATCAGAAAAGGTTGATCATCTAGCATATAAGTATTGGTGTGTACTGCAAGGTTCTGGAATCATCAAAATGATAAGAAATTTGGCCCAGTCTCGGTAAAGTTACCAGCACTTTTCAGAGAAAAATGTATATGCAGGACTACGCGATATCTATCCAGTTCGGACAGATATATATAATAATATATCAATTATAGTAGGCGGTTTCCCGGAAAATTTTGTATCATCACGTATTACTATTAGTCGAAACATATTATTTCACATGATTGGTAATAAGAGCTTCCATTTCGTTTTTCGAGAGGGGGCGTTTCCATTTTCCAAAACTGGTCTATACCTTTAAAAGAAGGTGGGGTGGTATCAGCAGCTCCCTCTCTGTCGAATAAATTATCCTTTTCTTTTCAAAGAGTCAATAACCTTTAAACCTTCCAAGCCGTACGCAAGACTCACCTGTAATGCTTGCTGGTTACAATAATTAAAGTTTTCCTTCTTAGATTTAAGCTTGTAGTTAATTGACTACTAATATTTATATTGGTTTACTTACATGACTAAGGGGCTTATGAATTAAATGTATTTGTGGGCACCTTGAGCATCTCTTAAGATGGAAATCTGTGATGTTTAAAATTATATGAAATAAAAACAATTTATATAAAATGAAAAAATAGGAGAACTGTAACAAGCCTGTGATGGCTTTGTAAGACAAAGTTCACTTTAAGATATACAGTTAACTTTTATGGAGCATAGATTATACATCACAAGGATATTATCAAATACAGCACTGAAATTGAATTATTGTGGAAAAGAGGGATATAGTATTAAACTATTCTATAAACGTATGACGATTTTTCCCTTGACCATGTGAAGTTAGATTTTTTTAAATATATTTTTTTTTAAATTGTGCTTTAATAGTGATATGGTCCTTTTGCAATGTAGCTAATATAGACAGATAATAATTGATGTGACCCCTTTTTATATATCAATGCAAAGATCGTTGCTAATTTTTCTTTTTACGTTTTCCATTTCCATTTCTTTTTATAGAAAAATCCTCTACAAGATGGCCATCGATCAAAATGGCGTCGTTACAAGGAAGGAAACCCCAGAAGACGACCAGGGGCCGACATCGACAAAGACGGTCGCTGCTCCCGACGACAGCATTGTATAACAGCAGCGGGACGACGACATCGACTTGACTATTCTTGCCAGCGAATAAGTGTATATTGACGATAGAGTGAGTGGTGATCATTGCCGTCATCGACAACGCTTTCATCATCTTCGTCGTGGTTGTTGTCATCGACACGACATTCTAGTCCTACGTCAATGTTATTGATGTCCATTTTTGGTGTTTGTGAGCTTCAATATCATCATCTTATTAACTGTCATCATCTTATTAACTGTCATCGCGTTTACTTAAACATCTATTTGCCGAAGTTTGTATGTGTGAGTAATACTTCGGACACATCGCCAAACCGACTCCAAACCATTGAGATATATGCAATTTTTTATTATTTCTCTTTGCTCCAAAGCGACCAATTTTGGGCCATTAGGGGTAACGGATTCCACGCTCGGACTGATATCGGTCTCGTTGATGAAACTGGAGTATAACTACAGTAGCTCCTCACTTTGAAAAGAAACGCAGAACGCAAAGAATTCATTTACATTTTGTGTTGTTCTTGTTTTACGAAGGAAGGGGGATGGTAATCTCCTTCAATGAACAAGTTACGAGACTGACAGCCCGCGAGACCGGCATTCTATAAGAGGCCTGCAGGCCACGTGATCGACAGCCTACGAGACCGATAGCACACGAGACCGATAGCACACGAGACAAAGAGCTCCGAGAGGTCCATGCAAGAAATTTTAGGGGAGATAAATTGCGTTCATGAACATTGGAAAAACCAATGGATTACGTAAGGAAATATATATAGAGAGAGAAGGGGGTAGATAGAGGAAAACAAAGAAAGGCCTATATAATTACAATAAGAAATTGCATATGATACTTAAAGATAGAAAATCAAAGAAATAAACGAGAAAATAAAGAATAAGATAGTCGCTGAATACGTAGAAGGCTCACAAGAATATTATTAGTCTCGCAGGCCTTTGGTCTCGTGAGAGCCGCACATGTAGGTCTATACAGTAGTGCTTCCATTATAATTATAATGGTTAATGTGAATATTGAAATAACCTATATCGCTGTCTATAAAATTGCATTGTTAATATTTTTCATCAAAATGATCAAAATTTATTATGTAGATTTTGTCTTCATCTTGTTTCTTTATATTTTGTTTAAAGTGTATTTTGATACGAATTTTTGCATAATTTCGAAATGTTCAAAGGTATGAAAATTATTGAATTATATTGTATAGCCATATCGTTGCGAAGATTCATTTTCTCACTCTGTTACATACTACGAAATTTAAAACTGATCCCTAGACTGTTGTTAATATATAATGTTTATATTAGTTCTTTTTCGTTGATGGTAATAATTCTTGTCATAAGGAGAATTGTATACCTCCGTATAGAAACTAGAGCGTAGAAGGCATGAATATTTCTTCCTGTATTTTTCTCTCTTTACATTGGTGTCTACAAAATGCAATTAGGCTGAATTACTTGTTTGTTTTGTAATGTCTTTGAAATATAAAGTTAACTGTCGGGGTAAACTGGCATACGTGCACGTACCTCTTATAGCTAAATGACAATCCATTGTACCTTATATTATATACTCATTCAAAGGCTGAAGTTTGTATGCAAGCGAGTGATTATTGTTGTACACGGTGCGTCAATTTCGATTGCGTCATTACATGCGCTAATAATAGAGCGCTAATATAGCATGCGCCAATAAGTCAACGCAATATTACACTTTTCATTTTGCATTCAGTGCTTGTAAGATATCTCTCTCAAAGGCGCGTCAAAAAACGCGCCAGTTGCTGACGCAGCAGTACGACAGCAAAATGAGACCTCGTATGCAACGGGTCTTAAAGGTATAGACCAGTTTTGGAAACACCCCCCCCCCCCCTCTCAAAAAATGAAATGGAAGCTCTTATTACCAATCATGTGAAAGATATGTTTGGACTAAAACGTGATGATACAAATTTTGCCGGAAACCGCCTATTAATTGATATATTTGGTAAATTATCATATTGATCCGGCCTGGATATATCACGAATGCACTTCAACATTGAGCATTTGGGCATATATTCTGCTTTTTTGCGAATTTAGGTTGAAGTATTGCCATCTGAAGGCAATATTTAAACAATAGTGAATGGATATTTTGCACCCAAAACCCTTGAACCGCAATTTTACCACTACCGGTCTATATCTTTATACAATATGTGGAATGCTTATAATTATGAAGACGCTGTAGTATAATGCGCGTCTACCGTATCCCTCTAATTGTTTATAAAATGATTAGCGGCTAGAGAAAAATAATGTATTAGCAAAATGAAAAAGAAAGAAAAAAATATACCTAAAAATGAAGTGTCACTTTGTACATGTTATAAGCAATGAAAATACTGCAATACGTTGATCTTGCTGATGTTCGTAACAATGATAGACTTTTACAATCTTGATGTGCACTTAAATTCAACATGCTAAGTCATTCACAAAGATGTTATGAATATACAGTTTGGTAAACAGGTAAACAGATTGATTTTCAGTCGATGAAATGATTTTCATCGTTTTTTCTGATATAAGATATATTCTTTTGACAATTTTCGGATGTGCTTGTAAAGGATAAATCAGCGCAGGGACTGTGGATCACAGGGTTCGGGGTTCAAATCCCTGCCTTAGTACTAACTTCATCTGGCAAAATATTAACATTTTCCATTCTCGACCCAGGCGGGCGTTTAGGAAGAGACTCCTCAAAATGCAGTTTTGTACTCTTTTTTTTTTTGTAAGGGTAGCCAGGCTGAAGCAATATTCTTGCACGATACAAATAACGTGCCTTTTATCATTATTATTATATCTAAATGCTTTTTGAACGTCATATGAAATTGAAGGATATGACTCTTAATGTTTTATGTTATTTTTGTGTAAGTCTCAAAATATTATTATAACTATTATTATAATTTATTTGGCAAAGACAAAGAAAAATCAGTGAATACAAAACAAGAGTGCATTTTGAAAAGAGTCACATGGATGCCGGGAAAAGAAAAAGATTAACTTAATGACTATAACCCGAAGGTCTTCTTTTCCAATCCATGTGACTTTACAGAAATGATAAGAATAAACTGGTGAGGTATAACAATTTATGAATCACAACAATAATCATCATCAAATATCATGTTCGGTTTAAAACAATTTGAACTATAGATCATAATACATATGAGTAAAGCCAAAGCAAGTTTTTGCAGTTTTCGTAATGCACCCTTTAATTTTATTACCTATCCCAGAGAAATTTACTGAGATTGACAAAAGGCTATAACGCGATTATGCACATGATTTTTCTACATGTTACTCAATATGAATGTTCTATGCAAGAAACACGGGGTTAGTACATAAACATTATACAAGTACATTATATTGAGTTATTATTATGTCTATTGTACTTTGGATAAACATTTTCATAACAGTATGATAACTTAAGCCTTCCAATGTATGTTATAATATTCCTACATGATGTCAAACATTTCCAATAACGTTTGCATACGAATATTTCCTTCATCATTCTCCTTTAATTTCCTACCCGAGAGTAAATGAGTAAAGAGTAAATATCCATATTTTTCTTATATTTTATATGAAATTAAATATTTTTATAATAACAATTCTTTCGGTCAAATGCATGATCAGAATCAATATATTTTGCGTCATTATACATTTCAGTTTTTAAGTTGAAATAAGTGTTTAGTAACAGTTTACTGAAAAGCTGTATAATGATAATATTTTGGTACTTAACATACATTATTAAAAAGTAACTATATCGTAATTCATCCATGTGTTATGGTATTTTTGTTTGGGTATAGCGAGGAATGTATTGTCAATGATTATCGTCTACAGCGATGTGAGATATACTTGTTAATTTCTTTTTCTTAAGAAGGAGGTCTAACCAACTTGCATTTGAATTGAGAATGATATCAAACAAATATTATAATAGGCTTGTAAGTATTTGTTCATGATACCGCCAGTTCCAATGCAAGCCTCGTGAAATAGTGGTTCATTTACTTTACCCCCAATCCAAGGATTGAAGATTCGAATCCAACTTTTGGCCCGGGCCTTTCTGGGGGGGGGGGGGGTGTTTCACAAAGATCCTAAGTTGAACTTATTGCTAAGTTGGACTTAACATTAAAATATGGAAAGCCGTTGGTATCTTTGAAAACAAATTATAAAAGTTATTTTAAAAGGCATAAAATATTGTCAATGACTTAATGTGTTCCCTAATATTTTGAAGCGCCTTGAGCATTTAATTTAAATGGATAATGGCGCTATATAAATCTCATGATTATTATTATTATTAATAAGGAATTTATGAAAAGTCTAAAATAATTGAATTTTTGCCTTTGAATATGTTTATTTTAAGGCTACAAATTGCATTCCATAATGTTTAAGTCCAACTTGGAGTTAAGTTTTGTGAAACACCCCCTGTTTATGTATTACCGGTAATGCAACAAAAATAAAAACGACAACAATACAGGGTATATAAACTGACTTGTTGAATGATTAACTGATTAATTGAACATTTAATTTGGGGTTATTAGAATGATTTATTGTTTATAATTGCATTAGTAGATGATTGGTTGATTGATTGATTGATAGAAAGATAGATTAAATTGATTAGTCTGGTAGACTGGCTGATTGATTGATGAATATTGGTTAATATAGGTTGATTTTTTTTCCTCTTATCCTCAAGCGAGGTTTTTATTTCCGTAATTTCGATACATATTTACATTAATAACTCAATGATTGAGTGAAACATAACAAAGGCTAAATATTAAAGTATATTCAACAATGCTTCCAGCTTAGTATTATTTTCTTTGATAAAACATTCATATCTTAAAAATAATCTTAGCAATGACTTGAATTCAATAAACAAAGTATGTGGGTAATAAACAGAACCATTAACAATCTTCTTAACGTAACCTTTATAAATTGCACATTGCGCATAATTTAAAATAATATTCAGAAGTGAATATTTCATATTTCCAATGCCATTACCTACAACTAATATCTATTGACAAAAGAAAAGAAAATATAGGTTAATTGCTAAAATGATTGATTATAACACAGTTATATAGGTCACGATACTGTGGCATAATAATTGTTCATTATTCTGTTTACTTTTCAAAGGCTTCAGTTGTTAGTCTACCTTGACCCGTGTTTACTATAATCTTGATCTTTAGAACCTGTATATATCCTGTGTTTTAGAGCTGCCAATCATCCACAGCTCTGAGCTAAGTAATAATTATATAGGTTTTATTTGAAACTAGATCATTTCGCTCACAAGTCATGGCAATGAGGCTATTGTCCCTTCAATATTATTTGATTTATTCTATAGATCAAGGAAAAAAAGAGAAGAGGGGGAGGCAAAGGGGTGCCAGAGAGAGAAGGAGGGGAGGGAGAGAGAGAGGAGGAGAGAGAGAGAGACAGACAGACAGACAAAGAGGGAGTGTGAAAGAGAAAGAGTGAGGGAGAGAGAGCCTGAGAAAGAGGGGGAGGGGGAAGGAAAGAGATACAGGAGAGGGGGGCCGGGGGGGGGGGCAACTTAACTCTCATAGCCCGGGTATCTCCTTCTCTATCTCTGTCCTTTTTCTGGGCTTTCCTACCCCCCCCCCCCCGTAAAAAGAAGATAATAATATATTCATAAATAAAAAATACAATAATTATATTTAAAAATCCCTCTCTCTCGCACTCTTTACCTTTCCTTGCCCTTCTCTCTCTGCTCTAGCTTTTCAATCCTGTCTTCATTTTTTCTTTGCTGTCTCGTCTTTCCCATTTCCTCACCCAATTTCCAACCCCCCCCCCTCTAACCCCCCCCCCCCCCCAGCTCTCGCTCTCTCCCTCCCTCTCTCTCTCTCTCTCTCTCTCTCTCTCTCTCTCTCTCTCATTTCCCCCTTCTCTCTCTCTCTCTCTCTCTCTCTCGCTCTCTCTCCCTCTCTCTTTCTCATCAGATGTTTCAAATAAAATATGGGACATTTGTATCGTTATAATGGTTCATGTCTTGAAGTGGTTAAAATAAGAATCCACACAGGCCACGTAATACTAATATTAGTATACACATCGTTTTCCCCCTTTCTTTTAGTATAAGAAACGGACTAGGATTAAAAGTTTTTTAGAAGAAGATGGCGCTCTCCTAAAGTAAAAACTCTGTGACATGTACCCCATTACAAAAATTGACTATGCACGTACATATCGTAAAAAATAAGCGAGAGAAAACAAAATTAAAAACCGGAGAGATAAAACAATGTTACTAGTTTAAGTTTAGGTTGCATGATGCTAATAAAGGCAACAACATTTCCTTTTCCCCCCCATAAAACTCTTTCACATCATAACCTCTTCTTATAGATAAGTAAAATTCATGAAACGCATGGATAGATCTTGGCTACCCCCCCCCCCCCCCCCCACCCCCACTCCGTGTTCCCAAAATCTCCGGTAAAGGGGCATTTTTCGCGCGACAAAGTCCGGCCCGAGGATTGTTTAAAAAAGGAGGTGTATTTGACTTTTCACTTGCAGATTTCTTTAAAAGGGGTGTTTTTCTCCTTCTCTCTCTTTGGATTGCTGAAAAATGTAAAAATGAGGTTATAAAATATTAAGAGGTGTGCTTTTTTTTTCCTCTCTCTCTCTCTCTCTCTCTCTCTCTCTCTCTCTATGTCTCTCTTTGGACTCCTGGGAAAGAGGGTTATAAAATATCTTGAATATCATAGGTAGGGTGGTACATTGAGCTGTGTTCCGGAGTAAAGGGGGGGGGGGGGGTCTCCAAGATAGATTGATAGATTGATTGATAGGGGGTGCTTTCAAAGGGAGGAAAGAAGCATAGACGCGTACCATGAATAACAAGGGGGCGGGGGTAGATATCCACGAATCAACATGAACTATTCACTATTTTTTTTATTCATTTTGATTTACCCTGGCCTGGTTGGGTTGAATTGAGTTGGGTTGGGTTGGGTTGTATTGGAAGTTCGTTTTACATTACCATAAAAAATTGGAATTCACTTCCTAATGATGAAGGAAAAGGAACACCTAAGACTTGAGAGTCTGAGGAGAGAAGCGAATGACATGTTATATGATTGAAATAGCCTGAATACAGATTTCTTTTGTCTTTTTTTTCTCTTCTGCTGGTTCATACATTTTAATCTTGTATATACTTATGTTTTTTGTACGTTATAGAACTTCAACATATTCATCATCATTTTCCTCTTCTTCCTCCTCCTTTTCCTCCTCCTCCTCCTCCTCTTTTTCTTCTTCTTCTTTTTCTTTGTTTATCTTCCTATTATTCTTCATATCATTTATCTATTGTTATTATTATTATTATCTGTCTGTAAATAATACGATTTCAACTTATTCATTTTGTACATGATTTTGAATGAATGTCGGGGACCCCACTGTAAATAAGTTCTCGAGCTTTCGTGTGTTGTCCTGTTCAAGCTGACTTAATTTGTTATATTGTTGTATGTATGCGAATTAATCAATCGATTTAAGAGTAGTTAAAGTTATGATCCTCTCTATATTTATGATTAGCATAGGGCCGCTATAAAGCCTCAAACAATAGAGGGCTTTTCATCTTTTGCTTTTCATCTAAAAGCGCTAGGCTAGATATCCATGCCTGTGTACAGTGCGGTGTACGTGTGCATATTGTGTGCACGCAGTAAATCTCCTTCTTCTGCTCTCTCAATCTCTCGCTATTAACCTCAGGTGCAACCGGTCATTTAATGTCTCTTTCTGGATGATGATAACTTAGGAAATAACAAGAAAAGATGGACAGAGCTGGAGACGGACCTCTTATGAGTATTCAGCAAGTTTTCCAGGTATTTAGAAAATTCATTAATAAATGTAACAATTGTTTTTGTTGTCGAAACACATCTCCTTTGCATTTGTGTAGACCCCTCGGAAAAGCTTTGTCGGAGAGCTGAAGGACGTCTTGCGGCTAAGGTCGGGGAGGTCTGTTGTACGAACAAGCCTATGTCAGTATGTGGCACGGGCCAACAACAATAACAAATTGTCTTTGACTGTCCTGGCGCTTGCCTGCACCTGGTCATTTAATGTGAGAATTAGGGATACAATTAGAAATATAGTGGATAATACTAATGTTAGAACATCTTATGCTTGTTCACTCTAGTTATTCATCGATCGAATCTGGCCTGGTTTCTCACTCAGCATTTGTTGACAATTTGTAGAGTCTAACTCTAAGTCTATAACTTAGTTACAAAATGTTAGACATGTTGTTACATTGTTACTGTTACTGTTAGATGCATGCTACATGTATATTGCTATCTCCATCTGTCAATGAAAAATTAATGGACGGGGAATGGGGATTGCGGCGGTAGATCTACTAGATCTTACTTGGATCTCTCATAATTTTTTCATGATCTATGGTGGTGTGACCAAAGTTTCCGTACTAGGCACTAAAAGCGCTTATTATAGTGGGAGAACAATACGCGATGCCTGTGTGGTACTGAGACAACAAAATCTTTGAGTACCGTCGACAACTCCAGAGGTCAAAATGTGACATAAAAATGTGAATAAGCTAGCTTTTTCACGCTTTTTATCATATCAAAATGTGTTTTTTTTTATATGAAAATCAGTTTATTAGAGGGATTCACTCCGAAAAATAATTATAAAATTCCAATTTCTTACGCAAAAAAAACTGAACCTGCGCGCCTGCTTCCACCGTATCTGTATTTATGAATGTAAATGAATCTATGCCGGGTTTCGTAAGAATACAAATTTAAAAGGGGAAAGTGGAGAGACAAAGAGAGAAAAGAGCGAGAACTTGTGTACACATATGGCTGACATATAAAAAGGAGATACATGATAAACTTTTTAAACAAACAAAATAACAAATGACATGGAGATATAGGACTACATTGTCCTTAGCACATAAAAATGAAATAAATTGTCTTTTATTTACAAAATTTAACAATGGTATTTTGTTCGGGCAAAATTTCAATGATAGAGGGAAATTATTATCTTTTTCAAAGTTTCAATATAATAAGTTTTACCTCTGATTGAAACTATGTCCCTTTTTGGAATGTTTACATATATAAAAAGCCCATCACAAGAGGGTAGTAAATATATTATGCGCGAACTTAAGTCACACTTTTTGACAGACGTCGATAGTGGTGAGCTGAAATTCTCGTCTTATCATTGGTTTGAAGTAAATATAGCCTTGGAATGTTATATAATTTGATTATATGATAAATTACTATTCTTATGACGTGTGAAACACGATGTTGATCTGGGTGTGCAAGAAAAGAAAAATATCTACGAACTTTGGTCACCCCTTCATACGACATCATTGTACATGTCTTTTTTAATCTAGAGATTTATGTTGAAAATGTTCATGAATTATTTTGTATTTTATTAAGATTAAGATGATTACCGGGTAATAATTTTGACTAGATCTTAAATATTTTCTGATATTCTGAAAGCTGAACTTCTGAAGAGCTATGAATTGTACTACTGTTGTACACTACTCATCAATACTATTCCCCCTTCATTGTTTATTTCTATTTTTAATAATTTTTTTCTCGACAATGTGCGCATTTCCTCCCTTCTGCGATTAACAAAATCCTGGATCTGCTAGTGCTGTAACTCATGTACAGTATGAAGTGCAAGTACAATGTACATGTACATATACATGTACATGTACATGTAGGGCAGAAGGCGTGTTAAAGGAAACCAAAACCTTAAAGTTACTTTTATTGTAAAGTTTAAAAGATTTGAATAAAATTGGGCAAGGAATAAGGAAGTAAGAGCTTTTTTAAATGACTACCGGTAGTCACTAGAGGGCGGTATTCAATTTGATGACATCACCTGTGAACAACTCTCCATGCCTTTTGTACATAAAATTTCACCATTTTTGTCTCGCCTGCGTAGCAAAAAGCAAGACATAGGCGCCGCTTTTCCGGTGGCGACGGCGACGGCGTCAACATCAAAAACTTAACCTAAGGTTAAGTTTTTGAGTTTTTGATATAATTTTTAAAGTATAAGTTCTTAGTAAATGAAACTTTGACTATAGGGTAATCAAGTATCCCCAATCATGTGAGTAGAATTTCAGATCACAAAGTCAAGGTCAAAGATCATTTCAGGTCAACAGACTTGGACTATGTTGTAGCATCATCATGGAAAACTTAACCTAAGGTTAAGTTTTTGAATTTTTGATATAATTTTGAAAGTATAAGTTCTTAGTCAATGCAACTTGGACTATAGGGTTATCAAGTCTCCCCAATCATGTGAGTAGAATTTCAGGTCACTAAGTTAAGGTCAAAGGTCATTTAAGGTCAACAAACTTAGACTTTGTTGTGGCATCAACATCAAGATTTTCAAAATGCTTCTTCTTCGTTGTTTTTTTTCAACCGATTTTGATTCTGATTGTTTCATATGATAGGGCTAGGAGGGGGATTTTAAAATTCCTACACAGAATCGTGAAATTCATTATCTATGCTAATTTATGCAAATTTATTCAAAATCACAAAAAAGACTTCTTCTCCTTCATTTCTCGACCGATTTTGATTTGGTTTGCATAATATCGTAGAGCTAACTTTGGTACACTTAACTTTTACACAGAATTTTGAAATTGTTCTCCATTTATTAATTATGGTAATTTATGCAAATTTATTCAAAAAGTAACAAAAATTGCTTCTTTTCCCTCATTTCTTGACCGATTTTGATTTGGTTTGCCTTATCTGGCAGAGCTCAATTTGGAACACTAAACTTCTACACAGAATTGTGAGATTCTGCTCCATTGATTATTTATGGTACTTTATGCAAATGAAATGAAATTATGTCCCTTCCAGGGCATCAAATTTTGGAATGTGCAAAATTTTGACCAGTTCAAAAGTGTACCACATAAAATTTACGATATTTGTTGTTGCGAGATGCGGATGAGCGCTACGTCATTGACGTTCTGGTTTATCATATTGAATTGCGTTATGCAGGCGAGACCGCCGAGAGCGTTTCCCTTGTTTTGTTTTCTTCGTATTTACATGTATTTGTGTTCTTGATCCGACTTCATAACATGTGAAGTAGAATATCTTTTTGCATTCTATATCTTGCTTTCGGGGGAGTACATTATCTCAATCACAAGAAAGAAGGAAAAACATGAAATTTTATGTACAAAAGGCATGGAGAGTTGTCCACAGATGATGTCATCAAATTGAATACCGCCCTCTAGTGACTAGTCATTTCAAAAAGCTCTTTCTTCCTTATTCCTTGCCTGATTTTGTTCAAATTTTCACTGATATTTTTCAAATATCTTAAACTTTACAATAAAAGTAACTTAGTATTAAGGTTTTGGTTTCCTTTAACTTCTTTGTTGAAACATGTACATGTACAGTGTATGTTCAGTCTACTTTAATATTTGAAGCCGTTTGTACAAAGCCTCATTAGTATGTCGTTGTCCTGGTGGTAAAACTTCAGTCGGAAATGAGCTCTTGGCCTCTCGTTGTACAGAGTGAACTTTCGCATTTAAATATTATACCAAAATTTATTGCATAAAGACATTTGGCAACAGTTTGAATTCCGGTACAATGCTTTGTTTGTACTGTGGAGTGATGTATTGTTAGGCAAATATTGTGCTGTTTACATTTTACAATCGGAACAAACTTGGTCAGGGATTCATGAAGGCTAAGAAGCACGCATTCTGAGATAAGAATCCAAGTCTCAAAAAGGTTGCGTTATCATTATGAAGGTGATATTTAACAGTACAGTTCATGTGTACACGTACAGTACATGTACTTGAAACTTGAAGTAAATATTTCCACTAAACTTTTGTGATGTGTGCATCTACAGTATGTGTATTGATTTTAAAGTGACTCGGTAACATTGTTGAAGGTTGATGAAAAAAACTGTAATTTGTGTATGAAATGTAATACTTCCTAGATGTATATTCCTACTACTGTACTTACATGTACATGGACTCTCTAACAGGCAAAAAATCCTGAGAAAATTCTTAAACCACAAAGATATTTATGGTTTGCTTTGAAGGCGTCACTGTGCAATACTCTAAAACAACAGTAAATTCTCCCAAACATTTTTGAATTTTCCTCGACTGTTTTTCCTTGAAAATAAGACATTAGACAGGCTTTAAAAAATCTTCCAACACTTAAATGTCTGGAATGCCATATAGAGCCAATTCGTTATTGACGATTTACATTCACCTTAAATGTAATTGAATTGTAATGATATACAGTACATGTAGTTGGGAGAATTAAGGAATTGATCAGATCAGTTTTCCCCAATTTTATCATTAATAATGGTCCGTTTTTACTCAAACTTTCATATTATCTTTTTTTATCTTATCTGAACAATGTTACCCAAGTCCCTTTAAAAGCTTCAAGAATTGATCAATCTTTGTAGCTCTCATCAGACGAGCTTGGTCTGGGTTTTGATTATGGCCAAGAATTGGTCTTTTCTTAAAAGATGAGAACTGGGGTATTCAAATAGGCAAATTTCCCTTTGTGACAGCATGATCCCGTAGATCTATTAATTAAAATTTGATCAACCTCACAAGTCAATTTACTTTAAATTCTACACACTATTCAGCTCTCATCTTATGTGGAGGGCAATATTTTTTTTAAAGGCATCGTTAAATGTTAAATCTGAGATGCATGGCCCTATGGTGTTAGCAGGTCTGTGATATGGTGTACAGTTAAATATTGAACCTCTAGAAAAATTGTGCTTCAAAATTATCATGCAGTGCCTCAAAAAAGTTTAAATCATTTTACTCATCTTCCAGAATAGATTGTAGTGTTATGAAAACCTTTAGGAAAATGAAAAATGAAATTTTGATTTCCAATCAGGCGATCGGCTTGTAAAATTCATGGGATTCCTGACTGCCCTAAAGGTTTGTACATGTAATTATGACAGCATCATAAGCTAAATCCAAGATTTTGTTTCAGAATCTGAGACAAAGATACACAATTCTTTAATAAATTAACATTTCTTTGCAGCTCTCATCTTATGGAGTTAAATCAGAGCAGGTAACATTCCCCCGGGTGACGGCATCGTCCCATCGCTGGATCTGCTGCCGTCACACCAGCAAAAAGAAGAAGAGGGACAACTGCGTGACGGCCATCAACCTGACGCGTCGGACGCCACGCGCCCTTACATGGCCGTGTTCGGCAGACTCGGCCATGATGAACCCTCGGAAACCCTGGCTTGCTCTCAAAGGTACGTGCTCAAATTGGAATTGATGCAAAGTTTTTGCTTGTCAAATGTGGGTAAAACATGAATGATCCCTTGCAAGCATTTATTGAGCTTATCATTATGGATGGATCTAGAGTAGATACATGTAAATGGATTTCATTAGAATCTTTGTGTCTGGCAGTTAAAAACTGAAATGAACATGAATTACAATAAAGATTTCCAAAGAACATTAAAATAATAATATGAGATACCAATAGGCCACTTCTGCAATGCATTGAAATCCAATCATATATTTTGTACACCATGCAATGCATGTAGTGTACTAAACCAAACAATTATACTTTTATTTTTAAACAACAATAAACAAACTGAAAATTCAACTTTATAAGTTTATATACTAAATTTGTTTTAAAAAAAGGGATGTAGGTAAATAAGCACTGTTGTTAAAGATAAACTTTAGTACTGGTAATGCGATTGCATTGTGAAAGAAAAGGTGTGGAAAGGATCAGAAACAGTTGATTATGTAGCATGTAAGTATTGGTGTGCACTGCAAGGTTCTAGAGTCATCAAAATCATAATAAATTTGACCGAGTCTTGGTAAAGTAACAAGCTCTGTACACAGAAAGCTATATATGGGACAACACACATGGTGTCAGGGCTGGTACTACCTTGATTTCCTTGTCTTTCTATGCTCATTACTCAGCCAGTATACATTTTCTTCCAAAATTGTTTGGCACATGTCATTTATTTGTAATCTTGAACATTCAGTGTAAGTTTTGTTGATTCTGTGAGAATTAATTTTCTCTTTTTTTTACCAGAACTCAAGTTAACTTTAATATTGTAACTACTTTTTCATCAGCTTGACTTTACATGGAAATCACCATTTCTAAATAATAGAATACCAACAAAAGACCCATTACCATTCATGTACAGTGCATGTAGGGTCTATATACAATGTATGTAGCCTTCTAAATTTTCACCTGTGCATTTTCTATTTTTAAAGTAAAATACCTGTTTAATTAAAAACCAACATACAGTATGTCTGCTGATACAGTACATGTATTTTGTTTTGAAATCCAAAATAGATGTTCACTGAAACTAATATTGCAACTTCATTCTAAATGCAAATGACATTTTGTGGTATTAATCAGTATGTCACCTTTGATTTGTAATAGCTTTGCTCATTACGCAACTCTCTGCGTACTGGTTGTCCAATGAATACCATACAGGAAAGCTCCCAATTAAAGCGCTGCTGCCGGATGATTCTACGATCATTAATTAGCTCTTGCCATAGTCAGTCAATATGACCGAGCAATATTCAGCAATGCTATTGATTGGTGATACATAATGTACATGTATGATTCATATTTCTCCTCTGCGCATGAACGCACATGATAAACAGTATTATACCTACCGGTAATCCAATATTAACAAACATCACATTATACAAATTGAACCTTCTATAGGATGGAGGTGTTTAATATGATGAGTCATGTACAGTATGAATGAATATTGATCACATTAAAACGTAACAGTATACTGTACTCCATGTATACCAGTAAATCAACAAATTGAACCTTCTACAAATGTATCTGTCTATACATGTAGGATTGAGGTATTATGATGAATGAATGCATAAATATTGAACACAGTACATGTAACAGTATTATTTTGTTTATAAAACATTTTAACAATGCATAGACACTGTAGGCAACAGTATGTACATGTATGTAAATGGCATCAATTGGAAGTTGGAACACATGATCATAGTTCTTGTTGTCAGTGAAAGTGTAATGTTACATTGGCTTAATATGGCAAGCTCTCAGCTCTGGTGACAATCGCTCCATGCTCGGCATATTTCATGTACAATAAACAAATTTCCAAATTCTAACTGAGGAACAAACAAACGCAATGCATTGGACTTGACCCTAACCAGTAATCCTATGCAATTCTCAATAGCAACCCTCACCTTAACCATACTTCTATGATGGAAGTTTTAAAGCCCTAAGCGAATTTTTGTGGAAAAAAAATAATTGGTCACTGACTCACTGTCACAAGTTGTTTATATTTTTGCATTTTCAGTGGAAGTTGTGAAATTGCCAACTTTTTGTTAGCCCACGTGCCCTACAACTGATGTGTATTTCATGTAAATAAATTGCTTTGCCAAAATAGGTCACATTTTCTCACAAACATGACAGCCTTCATCGTTATCACTCCCTGTGTAGTGTGTACCCTATGACAGGCCTTGGCCAAGGTTTACTACTGTGCACACAACTGTGACGATGACCCCTTTATAAATAGTGCACGATGCCACAGAACACTATATCCCTATAGTATCAACTATCGGCCGGACATAGTACAGTAGCCTGAAACGGGAGGATGATGTTTGTCACTCCGTCTGTCTTTGAGATGCATGCCCACTAGCCTGAACTGGTTGCTCGCACGAGATGATGTACATTGTACCAAGGAAATCAGAGTTTCAACATAATTTCAATATGATTTAAATACTGTGCTGTCAATATTAACCCATAAATAAGTCTAAAGACTGTGGTCCAACTTTCAGTTTTCACCCAACCCTTGCTCAAAAGTCAAATTTCCACAAGGAATACCTTGGATCTCAAACTATACTTTCTAAACCTGATTTTGAACAGAAGCCTGAACATGTAGCATCAAGGCCCTGTTTCATAAAAATTGATATCCATAACAAGTTGCAATGACTGTTATTTATGAGCTACTGAAATTGTGGCATCTGATTGGCTGAGCGCTTATTTGTCATAGAAATCTAGCATTTGTTACTGATAACAAATTTTATGAAACATGGCCCAAGTTTAAAATTTAGTACAATACAGGCCACAGGCCTTATACATGTAAATCTCCAGGTATGTTCACACTTCATCATCTCCAGGTGTGTTCTCACTAGCCTGCTTTTTATTGCTGTAGATGATAAACACAATTATTTTTTATATGTTTATATATCAGACTTGATATTAAAACAATAAATATGCAGCACAGTGCATGCATGCTTCGTTTATTTTTAGTAATCAGCTCTTGCGTTGCATGCCGTGATCCAATAATACAAAAAATATGCTTTCATAATGTAGCCTTGAACTTAGTAAATACATGTTATATGTTATTTTATGATATTGTACAATTTGTACAGTAGCTACATGTAGTAGTAATTTCCCAGGTGTGTCATTGGTGAATATACTACATAGGCATTATTTACAGTGCCATCAGCTAATTTTTCCAGGAAGAGAAATGGTGTTTTTTTTTTCCTTCTTCTATTCTTTAATTGTTGGGCTGGTGAAAACAATCCCTCTGACTGAGCTCACCCAAGCACACACCATAGGCAATACCACTTCTGTTCTGTTCTGGATAACTCATGAACCATATGATGCTCATGCAGCTTCATGCACAGAAGGCGCGTCCTCATTATCTCGAGATTGCCAAATAGCCCGCTATTTCTGATTTGGGAAATAATCCCGAAGTTACAAATCGCGCCTTCATCAGCTTGAGATTTGACCTCGAAACTTGAAACTAGACCTTGAGAAATTAGCTCGAGATATTTTGCTCAGCGTTAGCGCATAGTGGGGGTCTTCGGTCTGGTGAAGATGCACAGGACAAATAGCTGGATATTTTGCCAAATAGTGGGATATTTTGCAAACTATCCCAAGATATCTTGGGATGACAATCCCGACCACATATCCCGCTAATTGCTACTTCGGTCTGATGAAAACGCAAATTAGCTGGATACATGTACAGTAGTTTGCAATCGGGATAGTTCAATTAGCTGGATATTTGGCAATCTCGAGATAGTGAAGACAGGCCTAGTGTAACCAACGTACATGGTTTGGCATTGGATACAATTAAAATTCTTTTGTTTTTGACCATCTACATGTATAGACCAACAACTGTCTTGATCTGTGTAAGTTTAGTCTCCCTGTTGTTTCCCATTGTTCCTTTATAGGCAGGCATATTAGATTTGACCTTGTTCAGAATTATATCTTGAAATTGCTTTCTATCTACTGGTACTGTACGTGTAGATTGTACTGTACATTGTAGACTTTGTTTCATTTCCCTTTTCCAAATGTTGTCTTCATGCATACAGTAAAACAATCAGAAAATTTTGTTCAACTGTTTTTTTTTTCTCACCTTGATGGTTTTTATCTTTTGTTGGACATTTAGTTCATTTTGCAAACAGTTCTGAAGACCTCTACGATATCTATAAAAAAAATTCTTCATGCAAGCGTACACTGTAGGGGTACATCTCCTTTCCAGTTTGATACACTTCATTGGCCGCCAAGAGGGCCTTCATGGTGCATTAGATATTAATAAAACTAGTTTTGAGATAAGTTGCATTAGGATTATTTACACTTTTTTGGAAAAGCCTACTGTACATGTACACGTGACTACTTGTACACTACTGAAAAAAACCTATATAAAACCGTCAGTGTTCGCTCACCATTGATAGACTTGAGTTGTGTAAACTTTAAACCGACATCAAGGTGCTTGCACTACTTGTTGCCGCTCTGCATGCAATACCATGAAAGCGAGGAGAGTCGCATGAGCAACAACTGGAATAAGTCATTAGTGTTTTGAGATCAAACATGCTGCAAAAAACAGAAATTTCAGTCATAATATGTGTTTTAAGTTGGGTTTTTGCTTGCAGTGTGAATGCCCCTATTTTGAATGACCTTGGAGTGATCACAAAGGGCTTATTTTCTCAATTAGACTGTAAACTTTTCAATCCCATTTAGAAGCTGAAATCGGTCATGTAAATCAAGGTCATTTCTTCTTTTCTTTTGTATATTGTCAGACGTTTCAGATATCTTTATAATTTGTTAAATGTACTGAATCAAGCAGGCTCTCATGGGGAGCTTTGGTGGAACAATTAGCTGGTTCACTGTTTCTGTTAAAGGTAAAGACCAGTATTGGAAACGCCCCAATTTCAAATAATGAAATGGAAGCTCTTATTACCAATCATGTGAAAGAATATGTTTTGACAAATACATGATGATAAAAAA